AATATAAGGAATTATTTCTTTATGGAAAGGGTGGTCAGGTACCGAACAAGCAGCCCAGGCAAGTGGTGGAATCAGCATCCCTAGAAGTGTTCAGAAAATGTGTGGATGTGGCACCTGCCCCATGTGTAGAAAAGGGATAACAGGCTCTGCCCAGAGCTGTGACTGCTGCAGGTCAGAATACACTGGGATCCATTTGGCCAAAGAACCAGGCAACAACTAAGACAGCCTTAAAAACTCCCTTAAATGTTTATACAGTGTCAGCTTTGCCCCATCCCAGTTGACTAAAGGCCCTCCTTCCCCCCTTTTCTTTCGCAGTGACTGCCCCCAGCTCCCCTTTGAGCCCCCCCATCTCTCCTGTCTTCTCCCCTCCGGAGCCATCGAGCAGCAAGAACGGGGAGTGCACCGTGTGCTTTGACAGCGAGGTGGACACGGTCATCTACACCTGCGGACACATGTGCCTCTGCAACACCTGTGGTCTTAAGCTGAAGAAGCAGCTCAACGCCTGCTGCCCCATTTGCCGACGGGTCATCAAAGATGTGATTAAAATCTACCGCCCGTAGCGCCCGTGGGGGGCTGCAGGAAGGGGGAACGCCGCTAGCAAACCACGCCTTTCCGTCCCTGCTTATGGGTTATCGTGCTGGTCAGTCGTTATCCAGTGGCTCGTTATCTGTGTTTCCTTATTTGACTGCTAGGGCACAATTCAGGGAGCAAAGCTGAGGATCGTGCGGGGCCCGCAGGCCTCGCTGGGACACCCGAGCCAGCTGCAAATGAGAAATTTCCCGTGCAAAGGCTCCTTTTTCCCTCCTCCTGCTGCGGGGGAGGCTTGCCGTGCTGCGGGTCTGGATGGGAGGTTGCCACTTGGGCAGTGCCAGGTGCCACTGGGCTTCCCGAGCCTAAAACCCGACAGCTCTGCGCTGCTGCCAGGGGCTTGTGCTGTGGTGGAGCAAAGCTGGGACGAGGCCCAGCAGGAGGGTTCAAAGTGGACAGAAGTGATCTGGAAATGTCATGTAAGGAGAAGCAGCTCAGGCCAAATAGTGGCACAGCCAGGTTGTCACTTACTGGGGTTTCATCCCCATGAACAGGCTCACGGGGACACGGAGGAGCTGGTCGGGGTTAGATAATGCAGATTTTTCTTTCTGTGGCAGAACAGGGACTTGTGGCCATGGAGGTTGCGAGCCAGGGAGCTGCCCTGGGGTAGCAGTGAGGAGCATGAACCCACACAGAGCCCCTGCAGTGGTGGAGCTGCAGGGAGCTGTGAGGGGCAGCTCGGGCACTGCCCTGCTGCCTTCTGAAGCCATAAACTGCAGCCCGTGGGTGACAGGGGTGTGTGGATGGGCACACTGCAATCCTGGCTCGGGACACTGCAGTGGTGGGGTTTGTCACCTGCAGGCACACACCCCTGCGCTTTGCCCTGCCCTCCTGGCAGGTGGCACAGCTGCATGCCACCCTGTCCTGACTGTCACCTGTGCTAGACCTTCCCCTGCTGGTGCCATGGCAGGGCTCAGCCTTCCTCCTGCCCCACCACGGGGATTTTTTGGAGGCTCTGGTGAGAACTTAATTTCTGACCCAGTCCCATCAGGCTCACCTTTATTTCTGGGGACTGTATATGCTGATTTTACCTGTTTTTCCAGCCTTTGCAGATTTCCCAGCACAGCTCCCAGCTGCCTGCACGCTGGGTCTCAACTCTACCTGAGACCTTGTTGAGAAAAACAGGGACAATCTCACTTGGCTTTACTGAGGAGGAAAGGAAAAGCTCTGAGGCTGAATTAGATGGTGGGAATGAAAAGGTAAATGGGTTTTGGGTGTGATGTCAGCTGCAGGCAGCACCTGATTGTTCAGCACTGGGGCTGGTGTGAGGAGCTCAGCATTCTCCTCTCCTCCCTGCTGCTCCAGCAGGAGCTGCTCTCCAGTCTCCATCCTTTTCCCGTTGCACAGCCCCTGTCCTGTCCTTCAGCCCCAGCCTGGCCAGTTTCCAGCTGCTTCAGGCTCATAAAGAGAGAAAAAAGATGGAAATGGGAGGATGAGAGGAGCTGTGGCCCTGCAGCTCGGTGACCATGTGCTACCAAGTGCATAAGAACAGCTTTTCAGAAAGGTGCAATTACCACATTTTAGTCTGGAAAAGGGAGAAATTGAATAATAACTGTACATTTTTAAAGCTTCTGGGCACAGAGGGAGCCTGAGGGATGTCTGGCTATTCCCTCTCTCCTCCAAGGATGTGGGTGCTTGGTGCTGCTGCCCAGGTGGGGGTTTGGCTGTGCCAGGAGAGCTGGGTTTGTCCACTGGCCTGTGCCAGCCCTGTGCCACACTGCCACTGGTGAGGGCACACCCAAGGAGCTCATCCTCCTCCTGCAGCGGGCTGTGCTCACAACAGGGCACCCAGAAACCTTTTGTTTTTCCTTGGAGAGCCGATGAACATTTATATTGAGTGTATCAGTGCTGTGACCTCTCAGCCATGGCCCTGCACGAGGGCCCAACAGCTTTGCAGAGCCCTTTTTGGAGACCTTTTTGGTGCCACTGGCTGTGCCACCGCCCTCAGCAGAGCCACTGCACCTTTCCACCTTTCCCCACGGAGGAGCCAGGGCACATTCCCTGCCTCTGGAGCTTTTCTGGAGCTCCAGCTGTCCTCCACCCCAGGGACCAGAGGCTTTGCACTCCCAGGGATGTCCCAGCCTCACATTGGCAGATCCAGGTCCAGCAGTGGGCACAGCACCAAGGGCACAGCAGTGCCAAGGTGTGCCAGTGCCTGCCTGGGCACTGCCAGCCGTGGGAAGCCTTTCCCTGGGGAGGAATTCAAGGAAAGCTGTGGGAATGCTCGGCCTGGATCAGGTCTGGGCCACCCCAGGGTGCTGTCCCAGCTCCAGGGGTGCCCTTGGGTCTCTGCTCGGTGCCACCTCAGGGCTTCCATCAGCAGGGTGGGTGCAGCCTGGGGGGGGATTTTTTGGTGTAGCTCTGTTTTGTATTTTTAAGCCAGCAAGGAGAAACACCAAATCCACCCCAGGAGCCGTTCAGGACACTTTGCAGAGGCTGAATTTTTGCTGTAGCAGCCAAAACCAGTTTTGCAAGAAGGGGCAGCACCCAGTGAGGCCAGCAAGGATCCAAGTGGGTTGGGAAAGCAGTGGACCTGTGGCCCTGCCTATCCAAAAGCAACAGGAATTTTCCAAAATAGGCCTCAAAAAAAAAAAAAAAGAATAAAAAAATATTTCCAGGAAAAGGTAGCCTCTTACAGATTTCATTGTTAGTATTCGTATTGCTATTTTTTTTAAACAGTCCAATGATATATGATTTGTACAGAAGATCTGTTTGTGCCTTATAAGGGTGTCTGTGCACTTTTTATCCTTTTTAAAGCAACTTTTAAAAAGAAAAAAAAAAAGATGGGGGGAGAAAACCAACACAGATCAATGGTAGTTTTATAGAATTTTGTGTTCACTGAGAATCCTGCTTTATATATATATATATATATATGTATGTATATACATATATATATATGTATAAAAGAGTGAAAAAGTGTTTATTTCCATGGGTTTTCCCCTCCTCTCCTCCTTAACCTTTGTTTGAAAATTTAAGGAAAAAAGGAAGACAGGAAAGAGATGGGGGAACTCTTTTACCTCTCCCCCTTTCTGAGGCAGTTCCTCTCTTGTCGTTACCTTTATGATTCAATACTGTGACCTGTATCACCTTGTTGAAGCTGAATCAGATTTTTGGACCTCTGTATTAGGCTTTTCAAGCAAAATTTTGGGGGGCCTGGGGAGGGAGGGCATCGCACGAGGGAGGGAGCTGCACCTCTACATGTCAGTGCTCTATAGTGTTCAGTGCTGTGTGTTTTCCTTTTGTCCATTTACCTGTTTTCCATGAATATAATTTTGACTCGTTTATGAAACAAATAAACCTTTGGCTTGTACAGATTGCTCTGGAGTGCTTCAAGGAGTTTGAGCTGAAGGGTGAGACAGCCTTGATTTGCAAAGTGAGGAAAGGCTGATCCAGAGGGGCAGAGGCTTCCAAAATAATAATAAAAAGGTGCTTTACAAACCTTTCCTGAGCTTTGCTTTGCTCCTGGGAGTCACTGCCCACTCCCTCCGTGGGCTGGGAGGCTTTGCTGGCTCGTTTAACCCTGCAAATCCTTGGAAGTTTGGGGGGCAAGGGTGTATTGCCGGGCTACAGAGGTGGAAGGGTTTGGTGGCCCTCACCAAGAGCCCCAAATTTCTTATTCAATCTCCAGCCTGGCCTCCCACTGTGCCCTGCTGGGGCTGAGGCAGCCACGGGGATACAGACGCAGCAGGAGGGCTGCTTTTAATTTTAATTTTTTCCTTTTCTCCTTTTTCCTTTTCTATTTCCTGTTTCCTTCCCCTTTTCCCTCTTCCCTTTCCTTTCCCCCTTCCCTTTTCCCTTTCTTCTTTCCTTTTTCCTTTCCCTGTATGCTTTTCTTCTTGTCTTTTCCCTTCCCTTTGCCTGTTTCCTTTCCCCTTTTCTTTCCCCTTTTCCTCTTTCCCTTTCCTGTTTCCTTTTCCCTTTTCTTTTTCTTTTCATGTGGAGTGGAAAAATTCATCCACAACTCTGCTGTGCCAGAGCTGAGTGTTCACACAAACCCCTCGCTCGCTCTGGGTGCTGAAGGAGCTGACAATTTATGCCAAAATGCCTTTTTAGACCCTCTGCTGCCTCAGTTTACCCCCAGAACTGATCCCTGGCCACTCAGAACCCCCAAAGCCCCTCAGCACTGGCAATGCCTCCTTCTCTCTCTGCACTTTCCCAAAATCACTGAACTCTGCTGGTTTGAGCCCACAGTAAAAACTTCCACACTCCACTGCCCCCTTTGGTGGGATATAAAGTCTGGGCACCAAGGAAGACACCAGGAGCTGTCAGGGTCCCCATGAGCCTCCCTGCCACAGCTGCCAGGATGGATGGACAGACAGACCCCAAACCAGCCCTGGACACGAGAGCAGCACCCCACAATTCCACCAGCCATACACATGGGTTCACCAGGGTGCTTGAAACCAGTCAAGCAGTTTATTTTTGTTTCTTAAAAAAAAAAAAAGAAAACAAAAGAAAAAAACCCCAAACCCAGGAAATAAAAAAAAAATAAAAATCCATCCCTTAAAGGTGAAGGTATAGACAGGGCATGGACACAGCTACATCTACCTTCTGCTGCCCCCCACCCACCCACAGTAATGGAGATTTATACACATTACATAATATAGAGACACATGGACAAACAAATGGGCTTTGGGAGCCTGGCAGAGCCGGGCACTGCAGGGCTGATGCCCACCCAGGATGTCCCCAGATCCCAGCTCCTGGCCCCCAAGCCACGGCAGTGCCCCCCTGGCACAGCCCCTGCTCTCAGGGCTGCTCTGGGAGGCTGGGCTGTGGCTGCTGGGGGGTGCCCCTGACTTTGGGGTGCTTTTGGCCACCCTCCTCCTCCTCACGAGGTAGACAGGGAGGAGAGGCAGCCTGGCTTGGGGCACAGGTGGCTGCAGGACTGGGGGCACAAATCAGAGGGGCACAAAGCCCTGCCAGCCCAGTGGCTCCTGGCATCTGGAGCTCAGGCAGCCCACGGCCCCTTGGCAGCCAGGAGAGTGGGGAAGGGGTAAGGCTGCAGGTGTGGGCACCTCCTGAGGGAAATCCCAGCGGGGCACTCCCTCTTGGAAGCTCTTTGGGAAGCAGGGAGCCATCCTGCCCCGCGCTCAGCCAGCCAAATACAGTACTTGTGTCAGGGGAATGGAGCACGAGCAGTTCCAGGCTCAGGCTGGGAGGGGAGAGGGGACAGCCCTCCTTCAGAGGCTAGACCACACAAAGAGCACAGCCCTCTCTGAGGACAGCCAGGCCACAGAGGTCTCTGAGACAGAGCTGAGATGAAAAGGCCATTCAGCAAAGGCAGGGCAAGGACACACAGCCTGGGAAAAGGACACACAGCCTGTGTCAAGAGCAGGGATGCAGGTCCAGCCCTTCCCACATACTGTGGGAGCTGCATCTGGCCGTGGAGCAGCTCTGCTTTAACTCACCCTGTCCCCACTCCTTTCCAAAGCAGAAGGGATTGAGTGGAGCCAGGCAGAGCGAAGGCAGCGCTGTCCTATCCCACCCTGCAGCTCTCCCGGGAGCACATCAACACCTCCCGACGTGCCAGCAAGCAGCTTTGTTATTGCACTGGCTTGCAAATGCGGTGCTTTTTGCCAGCTCAGGTGAGTCAGCCCCATCAGGGGCTGATGTGCCACCGGAGAAAACCGCAGGTGGGAGGGAGAGCAATCAGCCACACACCGGGGTGCGTGAATCCCCATGGCTAAAAATTAATTTTGGGGCTTCTGGATATGAGGATGGTCAGGATTTCTCTATCAGATCAAATTGCCCCATGGCCCTCCCAGAATGATCCTGGGACCACTGTTCTCTTCTGTATGCAGACAGAGGGATCTTCACATTCCCAGGGTGGAAAATATGGACAGAGAAGGAAGCAAGCATCTGGGGGAGTGGAGAATGCTCCTTCAATTCAGGCAGCCTCAAATGAGAGGGAAAACTGTCATTATTTTCAGCAGCAAAACAATGTGGCTGCATTGCTCACACTTGCAATTAGACCAGAGAGGGCAACAGGGCTTGGTCAACACCAAACCTGCCCCTGCCTTGGCAGGGATGCTGGACTGGATGTTCTCCAGAGGTCCCTTCCAGCCCCAACAATTCTGTGACTCTGTGAAACCCACAGATATCCGGGCTTAAAGCTCTTCTGGAGAGAAATGTGGCCCTGAAGCTGCAAATAGCCAAGGACAGAAAGGAAGAAAACAGCTCTGGGGAACAACAGCTCATCCTCCTGCTGGGATAAGCAGCACTGAGGGCGAGGCAGGAATGTCAGCATGGAAAAACCCCAGGCTCTGCTTGCCCAGAAGCCCCTCCAAGCCAACCTGGCCCACAGGGTGAAATGCAAGTACCTGGAGGGCAGGCAGGTGGGGTGACAAACAAGGCAGGCAGCCCCTGAGCACCAGACACACCTCAGAAGTGGTGGTGATGAGGAGCTGAGCTCCCACATTCTGGATTGCACTTGGTAATATCAGCACCGAGGGAAGGACCCAGCTCCTGGCTGCTGCCCGCCAGCCTGGGGAGCTCAGTGGGTCCTGGCAAGGGGTGGTCCCCTCCTAGTCCAACAGGCAGGGCAGTCTGTGTGGGGACGAGAGCAAAGCATCCCTTTTCCAGGGTTTTTGGGGTCGTTCTGGTCCTCTGTACCTTGCATAGAATTCCTCAGCTCCGGAAGCAAAACCCCTCTGATGTTTGGTTGCAGTACTGCAGGGGAGAAGCCTGAGAGCTGTTCTGGACCAGCACAGCAGGACCTGTTAAATGAAGGTGTATTTTTCCCTATTTTTTTCCACCAGGAGGATGTTGAAGTTAACACTTGTCATTGTTGAGCAGGGAAGGACCAAGGGATGATCTCCGTGCAGAGGGAGCATGGCACACCAGAGACAGAGCTACAGGAACCTGTTCTCAGCAATCATTTCCTCTTTTTTGCCACATTTCTCGTGGCTCTGCTACGCCACTGGACTAAGCAACATGACCTGCAACTCTTGGCCGTGACCCTGAGCTTCAGGGAAAGGCAAATCCTTCTGTGATTTCCACCACTGGTACCACTCCACCTGGCTGCTGCTGGATTTCTCTCCAGTTCACCACAGAGGTGGCAAAATGTCACTCCAGGTCCATCTCCCCAGCATAGAGAACCACGGGAGCCAAGTCCTTTGGGGAATGTGAGGAGGAGGGTGGGTACAGGGAGCACAGGGATGAGGAGGGGAGGCCGAGCTGCCTCCTCCAGCTGCTGCCAAGGGGCTCCAGCTGGGAGGCGTGGGATCTCCAATTATTATCTTTTCTTTTAAAGCCAGCCTTACAGAAAACTATAAATTAATCTGCTCATTAAATACTCAGGTGAGAGACCAGGGAGCCTCCAGCTGTGCAGGCCGAGGAGCAGCTATGGCTTCTTCCTCAGGTAATTGGAAGGGATCCAGCCCTCCCAGCACGGCCCCCCTGCCAGGACCCTGCAGAACCACCAGCCACTGCTGTTCCTCTCACAAACTTCAAACAAAGTCCCTTCTCTGAAGCTGTTGGTCTCCTCGTCACCTTCAAAATCCGCCACTGCCACGTAGAGAGCTTCCCTGGAGATGTCCGGCCCGGAGCCGGGGCCTGAGGGCCTCTCCTTGGCCTCCCCTCTCTCCACGGGCTTGGAGATGACCTTTGGGTTTATGCTGCTCCTGGCTTTGGCTTCATCTTGCATGCAGGCAGAGAGGAAGGGCTTGGCTTTGGGAGGGACCAGCATGGGCCTCCCTGGCACCGCCGAGGGCCTGAGCTCGGCAGCTTCCCGTGCCGGGGCCCGGGGCTCGGCGGGGACGGAGAGAGGAGCCCCCATCTTCTTGGGAGGGGGTGGCCTGCGAGGTGGCACCACAGGCCGCTGCGGAGGGGCGTCCCTGGCACACGGGGGGCTTGCCGGGCCCAGGGGAGATTTGGGCAGTGCCTCTTTGGGGGCAACGTCCAGCCTGGGCAGGGCTTTGCTCTCCGTGCCCGGCCGCTCTGGAAACCGCCCGCAAGGCTCCGAGGAGATCACGGCATTGCTGAAGGAGCTTTCCCCAGCAGTGGGGTCCTGCTCCAAGGGCTTCTCTGGGCACTTGGCAGGTCTCAGCTTGCTCCGCAGGCTGCAAATGTCCAGTTTGTCATCGGCTGGGGGTGGCTCAGTCCGGGGGGACGCGGCGGGTTTTGGCCTGATCTGAGGTCTTGACTTCAAGAACGGGTTCTGGGTGATGGGCTCAGGTTTGTCCTCCACAGGCTCAGCTTTTGGCTTGGTTGGCTTGACAATGGGCCGGAGGTTTGGCTTCTTCACCTCCTTGGCCGACACCTTGTGTCCACATTCCAGCCCCATTTCGTTTTTCAGCTGGAAGAGTTTGCCCTTCTCCCCTTTGAGCTCTGGCTTCTTGTTGTCCTTTGGGGCTGCTGATTGCTTGGGTGGGATCATGGGCAAAATCATGCCTGGGGGCTTGGGGGGAGGCCTCTGTCTCTCTAGTAACTCTCCTTCTGATTTGATGATGGACTCCTTCCTGGGTGGGAGGCTGGGCTTCTCCTCCGTGTCGCGGTCCGAGATCTCCTCGTAGCCCCCAGCAAACGACAGGTCCCCGCTGTCAGGAGCCTCCTTCCCCTTCCAGTCCTTGCCCCACCTGCCAGTGCAGTCCATGCCGTTGGGAGGAGCCTCTGGCAGGGGTCGGCAGGGCCCTGTCACCTCCTCGCTGGCACTGCCATCGGTGTCACCGAGCCGCAGCTGCGCCATCTCGTTGGGAAGGGGGGCCAGGAAATTGGGCCTGGAGGCGTTGCTGGTTTTCTTGTACTTATCAATGAAGGTGGCAGGGGCCCAGCCCTCCTTCTCCTCGATCTGGATGTACCACCAGCCACTCAGGTTCTTCTCAATAACCTGCCGGGGGGAAAGGAGACCTCAGACAGCCACTCTGCGCTCAAGGGTCTCAAAAATGATGGCAGGGTGACACATGGCCTTATGCTGCTCCAGCCAAAAGCCATGGAGTCCCAGGAATGGCATCCTAAGGGGAGGGACACCTGGTCCTGGCTGCCAGGGAAGGAAGAGGGCTGAGGAAGGGCTGCTGAGCTGTATCTGTCCCTCCCAGAGCGGGGTGCCAGGAGCTGGAGGTGGCCACAGCGTGGCACTGTTGGAGCAATGAAGCAGCAGCAGCAGCGATCCCGTGTGGATCCCACACTGCCCAGCCTGTCTGCAGCTCCAGGAACGGGGCTGGGGCCTGGCAGGGGCTGAGTGGGGCAGCCCTGAAGGAAAAATCCTCTTAGAGAGGCGTAAATCACATCCGCACACGGAGAAAGCAAAATCCCATCTGCAGGAGGGGTTCTGCCAGCAAAGAGGGTGTGCCAGGAATTTTGGAAGGGCTTTTAACTTTACACCTGGCCTAACTAAGAGGAAAAACTCCCATCTCCAATGCCATTTGTGCTGTGGGTTTATTTTCCACTTGCTCTAACAGAGCACTCACACCTGGGGGACAGGAGGGCCTCAAGAACGGTGTGGGGCCAGAGTCCCTTGAGCTCCTACAGGTTTTTATGCCACTCTCAGAGTATGGAATGTTCACAGAGACAAAATCATGCGTGGTTTGCACCCAGAGCACCATGGGGAGCAGATCTCCCTGGCCTGGAAGGGGAGCTCCTGCCTGAGAGGTGCCAGGAGCACTGCCCTGAAGTGGCAGTGTGTGAAGGAAAGGTGACAGCCTCACCTCTACTTTCATTCCTGCCTGGAAGCTGATTCCATCAGGGATGGTGGTCTGGAAGTCAGCAATGGTGTAATATTCCTCTTCCACTTGAGGGGGCACAGGAGGCTTAGGCAGGTTCAGACCACGGGGCTGGGACAGGAAAACAGAAAAGCCATTGGTGTGTTTGTAGAGCAGGTGTGACACCACATCCAGGCACGGGGACAAGATCCCAACCAGCGACCAGAGCTCCTGGCAGTGCTCCCCTCCCTCCCCCTGTGCCACTGCTGCCCTCCCACACCAGCTGGCACTTACTATGGTGAGGTCTCGGCGGGGAGGTGGCCTCTGCCTCATCTTTGGTGACTCTGTGGAGGAAGAATTCCAGATGCTGTTGAGTTTCTGGCTTTTGAGCATGTGTTCAGGAAAGACAAGTGAGAGACAGAACAGAAAGACAAGGACTAAACCTGTCCCAGGGAAAAGAACCTGAAGGAGGAACCCATCATCCCAGAACCCATCAGCTCAGAACCCATTATCCCAGAACCCATCAGCTCAGAACGCATCAGAACAGAACCCTGAGTGGCACAGGTGACCCAGGTCTCAAGGGTATCCCAGCTTTCAGGTTCTCCTGGGAAATGCAGCTGAGGTGACCACGTGAAATTACTTTTGCATTGCAGGACTGACCCAGAGGACCTGGCTGCAGAGGGGTTATGATCACAGAATCCCAAAATCACGGGATTGCCTGGGTTTGAAACGACCTCAAAGCCCGTCTTATTCCCCCCCCTGCCATGGCAGGGACCCATTATCCCAGAACCCATCAGCTCAGAACGCATCAGAACAGAACCCTGAGTGGCACAGGTGACCCAGGTCTCAAGGGTATCCCAGCTTTCAGGTTCTCCTGGGAAATGCAGCTGAGGTGACCACGTGAAATTACTTTTGCATTGCAGGACTGACCCAGAGGACCTGGCCTGCAGAGGGATTAAGATCACATAATCCCAGAATCATGGAATTTGAAAAGACCTCAAAACCCATTTCATTCCACCTCCTGCCATGGCAGGGACACCTTCCACTGTACCAGGTGCTCCAAGCCCTGTCCAAGCTGGTCATGGGCACTGCCAGGGATCCAGGGGCAGCCACAGCTGCTCTGGGCACCCTGTGCCAGGGCCTCCCCACCCTCACAAGCAAGAATTTCTTCCCAATATCCCTCTAACCTCACTCCCTGTCAGTGTGAAGCCGTTCTCCCTTGTCCTGTAAAGCATCCTCTCAATCTTCCTGGCAGGCTCCCTTTAGGAGCCCCAGTTTCTGAGAGGAGAACATCTCCAGCTGACCCTGGAGCCTGGGAAGGGATCCCCAGCCTGGCAGGGGATCCCCATGCCATGTGCTGACCCTCAGCAGGTCCCTGGGCAGCGCTGTCCCTGTGCCCCCTGCGTGTGCCATGATCCCCCCTGACCCCACTGCAGAACCACAGGCCCTGCCAGGCTCTGTCAGCTCACAGCCTCTTACTGTGCCCAAAATCTGGGGGAAAGACTCTGTTTGAAGCCCACCCAAGGCTATGTTTCAAGCCCATTTGAGGCCATGTTTGGAGCCCACTCAAGGCCGTGTTTGGAGCCCACCTGAGGCTGTGTTTGGAGCCCACTCAAGGCCGTGTTTGGAGCCCACCTGAGGCTGTGTTTGCAGCCCACTCAAGGCTGTGTTTGAGCCCACATAAGGCCATGTTTGAGCCCACTTGAGGCCGTGTTTGAGCCCACTGAAGGCTGTGTTTGAAGCCCACTCAAGGCCATGTTTGAGCCCACCCAAGGCTGTGTTTGAAGCCCACTCAAGGCTGTGTTTGCAGCCCACATAAGGCTGTGTTTGAGCCCACCCACGGCCATGTCTGAAGCCCACTCAAGGCCGTGTTTGAGCCCACCCAAGGCTGTGTTTGGAGCCCACTCAAGGCCATGTTTGAGCCCACCTGAGGCCATGTTTGAGCCCACCTGCCCTGCCCAGCACTCACTGCGGCGGATGTCGGCGCTGGGCAGGGGCCGGCTCTCGAGCCTGCTGTCCCTCTGTCCCCCCAGCCCGTCCTTGTCCCTGCTGGCCAGCAGCTGCTGCCTGGAGATGCCATCCAGATCCAGGGCACTGGAGTGAGCCGAGGAGCCCGAGCCCAGCTTCGGTGGGAACACATCTCCATTCCCCTTCCTGAGGTAGGAGGCAGGGGCCCAGCCCTCCTGGCCCTGGTACCTGTGGGGACAAGGACAGCAGGGTCACTGCACAGAGCCCCTGGGACAGGCCAGGGACTGAGCCCAGAGCTCAGCACACTCCTTGGCTGAAGGCACTGCCAGCTCTGGGCAACAGGAGCTCGCCAGGTTCTCCATGGCACCAGCAGAGCTCCCTCATGGCTAATGCTCCCACAGGAGCTGGCCCCAGCCAGGGCCAAGGGCTGGGAATGCTGTGAAGGCTGGGAGTGCTGGGAATGTGTGTTTTCACCTCAGCAATGGCACCACTTCAGGAGTGAAGAGCTCTGGCAGGGAAAGCAGAGGGAAAAACAAGAGGGCTGCTGCTGGGATTGATGTACCTGGTCTTTGGAGAGAGCACAAGCCCTCTCCCTGCTGGCAGCCTGGATCCCTTCCCTGTTCTAAATCTGTTTAGGAGAGAAATCAGCCCAGTGACCTGATTGAAAAACCACATCCATGTGCCCCTGCCATGCCAGACCCTCCCTGCTGCAGGGCTGCAGCCACCTCGTTCAGATGGCACCAGCTACTGAGGCTGTAATTGCCTTTGGAGCTCCTGTGGCAGCTCTCCTGTGCCTCAAACATCAGTGGATGTGATTGTGGGGCTGTGCTGCTGCCAGGAGCACAGGTTCACTGTGAGGTTATGAAAATTGCAGCGTGTGCTCCCACCCTGAGCAAGCCCGGCCGTTTGCTCGGCCGCAGAGAAGAGAAAATGAGCTCCCAGCAGAAAACAAGCTGGGGATGGGCTGGAGCCTTTGGCTCAGCACACCCTGCACACAGCAGAGCTGGCCCAGAGCTGGCCATTCCCTGCAGGAGCCTCCAAGAGAGCCAGGGGATGCAGCCTGCCCTGGGACATTCCTGGGTTTTCCCATCAGCAGGATGTGACACCCCACTAAAGCTCTGACACCCTGGCACTGCAGGACATTGGACAATGCATGTGCAGAGAACAAAGAGCACACAGTGTGGGGAAGGGGACACAGCCACCTCCCAGCACAGGAAAGCTGGGCAGTTCAAGGATTTTCAACCAAAGCTGTGCTTGAACATCAAATCTGTCAGGATGGAGAGAAATGAGTTCTGGAACTCTGCCCTCCCCAGCTCACAGACCTGCCTTGGGGCTGGCACCCCACGGCCCCAGCTGCAGTGCCTGGGACAGTACCTGATGGCAGTGCCATGCAGTGCCTGGGACAGTACCTGATTTTCCACCAGCCCTCCAGGTTCTTCTGGATCACCACCACCACGGCCCCTTTGTCCAGGTTCATCTCATCCTGGTCTCTTGCAGTGTAGGGGTAAATCACCGTGTACTTCTCCTCTGTTGGAAAGAAAGAGCAGCTTCACTGAGGAGCTGTTTGATGGGAACCTGGCCTCAGCTGACAAATGGCTATGAAGTGCTTTATACAAATGATAATTCTTGTAATTTAGGTGCAAACACAGAGATACATGACCATTCAAAGGGAAATGACAGTGAAATGTATTTGGAGATGTAAATTTTGGTGAGCTGCTCTGGCCCAAGAAATTCTCTAAAATAGTTTCTCCTCTCCCTTAAAGACTTTTCACAACTCATCACAGAAGCTCTTCCATGCACCCATTTCAGCTCAAATTTCATTCTCAGAGTCTTTAAAGAGGAACTGTCCTCTGTAAGGGGACAGAAATCCCACATACATGAGGGGGTAGTCCCATGCACACAGAGGTGGCCTCAAACTGCTCCAGAGCAGCAGATCTGCAGGAATATCACCATTTAACCCTCAGATCATTGGTCAAAGCCATGAGGGGAGCCTGGAGAAGAACCTGATGTCCTGTCCACCAGAACAAGGGATGTTAAGCAGGAATATGGATGTTCTTCCCTTCAGGAGGAAGGAGAAACATCCTAAAAGCCATGCAGCCATGTCAGACAAATGGGTCCATCCATCCTCCCCTCTCCCTCAGCTTCCTCTCTGGAAGAAACACAGGGAAATAATTGCCTGTGCTTAAGCAGTGCCTTTACAACAGGTGAAGGCCATTTGGGGAAAAATCTGCCTCCAAAATCCACCCCTCTGGACATCCCTACATCCCCACCATGCAGGTTTCCTGGATTTATCTTCTGGGAGTGGCACAGCTCTGGAAGGGTCTGAATTCCCACCCCCTCCATGCAGAGGAGACCAAGCAGGGAATGTCCTGTCACATCCAGCAGGACCTTCTCCTCCTGAGCCCACCTTGAGGCACCAACCCAGGTCACTGCAGGAACTCAGGCAGCAGCTGCAAGAATTCTGCACGTGTGTGCTGGGGGAAAGCAGGAGCTGCAGTTTCTGAGCCCAAACCAAGACGTGAGAAGGAAGAGCTGAGAGAGGAGAGGGATGTGCACAGGAGGAGCAGGGGTGGCACGCTCTGAGGGCTGACACATGCACAGCAAACCAACATGCACACAAGGCTGCAAGCACAACACAGGGGCAGCCAAGAAAGGCTCTGTGTGCTCCACCTTGACCCCATCCAGGGGTGTACAAGTCCCCAAGAGTCCGGCGGCGGCCAAGGTGCCTGGGCAGGGACCAGTATCTCCATGGCACTGGGAGCAGCACAGTGGGGAAGCAGAAGAAGGACAAGAGAGGACGTAAGGAGGTAGCACTTCAGGTCCAGGAGGAGACAGGGCTGGCACAGAGAGTGGTACAGAGACTCTGCTCACCTGGAGCCCTCCCCAGGCTGAGCCCCCCTCCATCTCCAGCTGCCCAGAGCAGGGGCTGAGCCAGCTACTGCTCTGCCTCGGGCACACGGAGGCACTGGGAAGGATGTGTTATCCAGGGGCACTTGGGATTTGCTCCAAGGACAGGCTGGAACCTTGCCTTCCCCACACTGTGTGCTCTTTGTTCTCTGCACATGCATTGTCCAAGGAGCTGGGCTTTGCTCCTCCTCCTCCAGGGCAGGTAAAACAGCTCCCTGGGCTGAAAGGAGGCACTGGGTGAGCATTCCTGGGAGGTGGCACCTCTGTGGAGGAGCAGAAAGGCCAGTGGATTCACCAGCAGTGTCCAGCTGCCCCAGTCCTGCAGCGGCACTGGGCAGGCAGGACCATTCCTGGGGTTTTTTCCCTCTTCCCAGGTTTTGTTCCTGGGTTTTGTCTCCCCCAGGCTCGTGCCCTGCCCCACTCAGGGAGGGTGATGCAGTGCCTCCAGCAGAGGAAGCTGGGGCAGATGCCTCCAGCAGCTTCTTACCTTCATCAGGCTGCATTGAGAACTCATCCTGGACTCCATCCTGGGCCTCCAGGCAGGTGGCTGGCACCCAGCCTTGCTCCTCCAACGTGCTCACGAACCACCAGCCTGAGGAGAAAACAGCAGGAGGCTCAGCCAAGGGCTCACACCAGCCAAAAACTCCCTCCCTCCCTCCAAACCACGTGCCTGGGGGGCTGTGACCCCTTTCCTGCATCTCCACAGGAAGCTGGGGAGACCCCAAAGCAACAGAGCCAAGCACAGGAGAACTGCAGCTGAGTGACATCTAAAAGTACAATTCCCTCCCCAGGAAAAGCTCTGAGAGCTGAATGGCTCCAGCCACTGCATTTGCTTTTGGTTTTTTCTGCCCCTTCATGGTTCATTTTCCCTCAGTGTGGGTCAGCAAGGCTGGGCTAATTAGCAGAGATGAATACCCTGCGTGTGAATCGATAGCCGAGTCCTGCTGCGCTCGCCTTCTCCACATTTGTGGGAACAGCAGAACTGAAAAGCCATGAGCAAATGCAGGATTTAAAACATCAGCTCTCCCAGTGGAAGCCCAGCCAGCCCCAGGGAGGCCACAAGCAATTCTGGGCCCCCTGTGTGTCCAATCAAAACCAACGCTTGCTGCTCGTTATTAAAAGCACAATTTGTGTCTTTAGGGGGCAAAAATAAAGACTGAGTATTACCCTCAGAACCCTCCCAGTGAGCCATTTAGAAAGACAACCAGATTGTCAGGGAGGGAATCAGCTACCTGCATGGGAGGGACAAGCAGGCTGACCTTTGATAAATAAATGATTTTCCACAGCTTTGGAGCTGGCTGTGCTAATCGTTTCATTTGCTTCAGGGTTGCTTTTATTTCTCTTGTTCTCAAACAGAGCTGCTGGTGCAACTGATCCTCTGGCAACCAGCTCTCCAGAGCTGTTAAAATCTATTTTCATTTAATTCCCCCCAAGAAGCAACTTCTGTAAGCTTCAGGGAATACATCTCCACAAGCTGGGTCCACGACAAGGCTCAGCCCCTTTGCAGAGGTGAAGAGCAAGTTTAAGTTTTGAAGCAAGCGAAGAGCTCAGCAACTGCCCGCAGGAATTAGGAATGAACCAAGGTGGCTTTCATGGCCACCACGAGAATGTCCCCCTGTGTCACTCACTAAACCCAGCCTGCCAAGCCCAGGGATGGCTTTTGTCCTCAGGACACATCAGCCAAGTTCTCCAGCACCAAGAAGCAGAGAGTGACGAAGGGGGACGGCGCCAGGCGCTGGGCACGGGGGGAAATCAGCCCTGAGAGAGCCTCATCCACACTCACAGACTCACATCCTGCACACCCCAGCTCAGCTCTCCATGCCCATGGCATGCCTGGGGGCTGCTCTGCTTCAGGAGAACCCTGGCAGCCCTGTGCTGCTCGTGTGCAGCCCCAGAGCCCTGCGCAGAGCCCGGCTCCCTGTACCTGATTCGTTCTTCTCAATGATCTCCACCACCTGGCCCACGCACAGGCTGATCTCCGAGCTCTCCTGCTTCTGGTAGTCGGCCACCACGACATACTGCTCCAGCACCAGGGGCTCAGCCGAGGCACAGTCAGCTCCTGCACAGCGAGGGGGACAAAACCGACCCGTGTGCCAGGTCAGCACTGTCCCCAGGGCACGGCCACCGCCACACCCAGCAGCTCCAGGACACCCCGGGGACCCCAGCGTGACACGGGTGAGCCAGAGGTTTGGGCAGAGTGAGGGGGACAGAGACCAAACCAGCAGCCAGGTGAGGTGGGGACAGCCAGGTGAGACCTGCTGCTGCCCACCAGAGCCATCCAAGCAACCTCCACCAGCCACCACCAGCACGGGAGCTCACAGCAGCCTGGACTGCCTGGGGTTTGGGGACCCTCCTGTGCACACCAGCTGCCCCAAAACACAGAGCCTACAGTGGGTTCTGCTGGGCTGAGGAGCCCCAGACCCCGCTGGGAGGGGTGTGTGGGACAGGGCAGCATCCCCTGAGGTGTTTGTGGAACGGGGCAGCATCCCCTGAGTGTTTGTGGAACGGGGCAGCATCCCTGGAAGTGTCTGTGGGACAGGGCAGCATCCCTTGAGTGTTTGTGGGATGGGGCAGCATCCCCTGAGGTGTTTGTGGAACGGAGCAGCATCCCCTGAGTGTTTGTGGGACGAGGCAGCATCCCTTGAGTGTTTGTGGGATGGGGCAGCATCCCTGGAAGTGTCTGTGAGACAGGGCAGCATCCCCCTGAGGTGTTTGTGGGATGGGGCAGCATCCCTGGAAGTGTCTGTGAGACAGGGCAGCATCCCTTGAGTGTTTGTGGGACAGGGCAGCATCCCCTGAGTGTTTGTGGGACAGGGCAGCATCCCCTGAGTGTTTGTGGGATGGGGCAGCATCCCCTGAGTGTTTGTGGGACAGGGCAGCATCCCCTGAGGTTTTTGTAGGACAGGGTAGCATCCCCTGAGTGTTTGTGGGACAGGACAGCATCCTCTGAGGTGTTTGTAGGACAGGGCAGCATCCCCTGAGTGTCTGTAGGACTGGGAAGCATCCCCTGTCCTCCAGCCCCGCTGTGCTCAGCCCCTCCGTGTGCTCTGCTCCCTGCCTAGCTGCACATCCCGCTCTCCTGGCAAAAAAAGGGGGAAAATCCCCCGAGGAGGGGCAGAGGGGGCAGAACCCAGCGGGAACGAAGCGCTCCCGTGGCCGGCAAGAGAGAGCCGGGAGCGGCCGGGGAACGGAGCTGGACCGGCGGCAGGTGGCACTGCGGGATAAGCCGGGATAACCGGGACAACCGGGACAGCTGAGAGGTAACCGGGACACCGGGAGAACCGTGGGACAACCGGGACACCGGGAGAACTGTGGGATAACCGGGACACCGGGAGAACCGTGGGACAACCGGGACACCGGGAGAACCATGGGATAACTGAGACACCGGGAGCAGGGCAGGATCACCGGGACACCGGGAGCACTGCAATAGGGCCGGGACACCAGGATGCACCACACACATCCTGGACCCTCGGGACACACAGGAGCACAGTGGCATCACCAGGAGCACAGTGGAATAACCGGGACACTGGGAGCACTGTGGGATCACCAGGAGCACTGTAGGATCACCGGGAGCACTGTGGGATTACTGGAGCACAGTGGGATTACCAGGAGCACTGTAGGATCACCGGGACACCAGGAGCACTGCAATGGGGCCGGGACACTGGGATGCTCCACGCACATCCCGGACCCTTGGGACACACGGGAGCACAGTGGGATCACCGGCACCACAGTGGGATCACTGGGAGCACAGTGGGATCACCAGGAGCACAGTGGGATCACTGGGAGCACAGGGGATCACTGGGAGCACAGTGGGATTACCAGGAGCACTGTAGGATCACCGGGACAGTGGGGCCGGGACACCAGGATGCACCACACACATCCCGGAGCCTCGGGGCACACGGGAGGGGGCACTGCCAGCCCTGCTGCCCCGCCGGGGAGCGGGGCCAGCCCGCTGCCCGGTTTGTGCTCTGCAGCACGTTTTCCTTCAGGGCAGAGCTCTGGAGGTGGATCCCCCTGGCAGCCTGGCACTGCCCGCTGCGGCACAGCTCCCCACCACATCTGCCACCACCCCACAGACGGAGTGTCCCCCACGCAGAGCACAGCTCCCCTTTCCTCCTTTCCCACACGCCAGGAGCCCACGGAGCACCAGGGCTTGGCAGGACACTGCCAGTGCCCGGGGTCCAGCTGGGCATTCCCTGCTGACATCCCCCATGAACCAGGCACGGGGCACTCAGGGACCCAGAGCACCACTGCACCTCCCTCTCTGCCTCCAAAAACCTCCAAGAAGCACAAAAGTCTCAAAAAAAATCTCCCAGGACTCCCCTGCAGTGGGATAAGAAAAGTTAAGGTACAGGCAAGGATCGTGGCACAGTTTTTACAGCCCTTGACAGGATGAAGTGCAGGGAGCAAAGAGAAGGGGGAGGCCACCAGGACAGTGACAGGGAAGGAATGATTGTGCCATTTGTGAAAAAAAAAACGATTGTTCAGGGTGTCAGGATCTGCTGCTGTACCTGGAGCCCCTGCTGGACCCAGAATTGTGTTTCCTAGCAGACACTTCTCTTCTGAGCTGAATTTTATGCCAAAGGGGGAACAATTGTTCAAATGTTCTTTTGCTGAGTGGGAAAGATGAGCAGGTGCATTTTATTCAACCAGTATTGCAGAATATGTGTGTGAGGTCATGGCTCACTTAAGGTCATTTGGGGTTCCTTGAGGTCATTTGGGGTTCCTTGAGGCCACTGGAATCCCTGAGAGGCGTTGTTTCAGTTCATTTGGGATTACTAGAGGTCACTGGAGTATTTTTTAATTGATCCAGGGGTTACTTGAGGTCATTTGAGGCCCTGATTGGGGTTACTTGAGGTCACAGGGGTTACTTGAGGTCATTGGAGTATTTTTTAATTGATCTTTTGAATTGATCTCTAATGCCCCAGGGATCTGGACTCCCCATCAGGAAGGAAAGGACGGGAGGCCTTGGCTACCAGGAGCCATCTGCAAGGATTTCTGGCCTAATATGAACTCTCATTGTCTACTTTATTCTCTGTATTTACTTGCCACACCTGGTGCACAGACCAGGAAAAGTCAGGAGGGGGTGTTTCAAATGTTCCAGGTTGTTCAAAAGTAGTTTGTAAAGACAAATTGAGAGACAAGAGGAAGGACTGAGAGGAAAGATGTGTGCTAGGGTTCCATCCTCATCCTGAAGGACAAGATCTAGCAGGTCCTCAGGACTCCAGGATGTTCTGCTGCCTCCTGGAGAAGTTCTCCTGTTCACAAGGTCACAACCTCCCCCAGCTGCCTCTGAGAACGCCACACCACAACCAAGATTTAAATGAACCACGTGTCTGCAGGGCAGTGTTATTTCAAGGAAAAGAAGGAAATTGTCTGTGGCCATAAACAGCACTCTGCAGAGCCCCAGGTGCTCCTGCTCAGGAAAGCTTCCTCCACACCAAAACCCAAAGGTGGGGCAGCAGACAGAGTTAAAAATACCCCTCCAAAGGGAATGGTGGATGCTGGGACTATCTCTTCTAGCAGCTCAATTAAAGGTTTGTGCTTAAAGGGATCTGAGGACCTACCCAGCCCCTGAGAGAAGAATAACTGCAGGGAGAGGTAAGTACTCCCCTTTCTGCCTCCCTCCTGTAATTACACCCGTGCCTCTGAGGCTATTTGGAGTTTCAGCAGCCAATTCTGGATCCTCCAATGTACCCATTAAACCAGCAAGAGAAGTGGTAAACAGAGCTTGGAGGAAGAGGTGGGCGTTAATTTTGGGAGCATTTCACCTGGCCTAATCATCCTCAGCCACAAAAACACACCCTGGAGTGAGCACAGCATCCTGAGCATGGCTAGACCTGGCTCCTCAAAATAGTGTAAGGCTGCCCAGGGAGGTGGGAGACAGCACCAAGGCTCTGAGCTGGGGAGGCGAGGAGGAATTTGTGCCCCAGGAGAGGTCTGCAGCCTCAGCTGGGACAGTGACACAAATGTGGCCTAGAGAAGGGGAATCCATCGAGTCAAGGGACCACTGAGGGCTGGGGCTGGGCTTGCAGATGTGATGCTTGCCCTGGATGCAGGAGAGGCACTCAGCACATCCCAGAGCTGTCCCAGGGCTGCTCAGAGGAGTGACCTCACCCTCAGCCAGCCCAAAAATCCTTGCAGGGTTTGTTTGGCCAGAAACTTGGCCTTGACCCAAGGGTTGAGATGTACAAACCCAGCAGGAAATCTCACAGATATGGGGTTGCTCGTGATCTCTTCCTCTTCCTCTTCCTTTCCTTTCCTTTCCTTTCCTTTCCTTTCCTTTCCTTTCCCCAAAAGTGAGGAACTTCTGACAGATCTTGTCCATTGGTGCTCCCAGAGGGACACAAAGAGCTCAGCACTGAGTTAGGGGCACAGGTATTTGGCTTTGAAGCCTGTTGCACACTCCAGCCTTTGCCTAACCCATCTTCCAAAAATGTAATTTTTTGGATAAAGTCCCTTCCTGCTCTGTGTGGATCAGACCCAGAGCTCTCAGGACAGCTCTTCTCCCAGACCTGAGGGGTTTGGGATGATCAAGGGGATGAACCTTCCTCCTCCTCTCACTGAAGGCTCTGCTGAATTCTTTGCAAACTCTCTCATCTCTCCAGGGATCTTTCCAGAATGTGGAAAACAAACACACGGAAATGCCATCCCCAGAGGGGTTTCAGACAGCTCCCCTGTGGCTGCTGTGCTTTCACTGCCTCTCCTCAGACCAAACTCTGCAGTCTGGGGTCTCCCTGCCACTGCAGGGACATTCCTCAGCACAGCACAAGGGACGTGGGCACACAAGAAAGCAGCTAAAATCAAACTGGCAAAGGGGCATTTGAGGTCTCTGCCAGCCTCTTTGGGCAGCTCCACCCAAATATAAACTCTGGAGGCAGCTCCAGGCTCGCCTGCACCAACCCATGGCTCTCCATCTGTGCTTTCTGTGCAACTGTGAGAGGCAGAGAGAACAGAAATGCTCCAACAGTCAGGGACGACTGCTTTTAGACAGACCTACATCAGTGGCCAAGGCAGAGCCCCAAAGTCTGGGGATAATCCACCCCCTGCAAGCTGTGCAGAGCCCACGCCTCAGGCTCAGCCAGGTGGGATCACAAATGCTGGGGAAAAAAGCTAAGCAAAGAAAGCAGATTTTATTTCCAGTGCCCACACGCACCGGGCCCTCCTCGAAACTCCAAATGTCCTCTGAGTCTCGTGGTCACCACAGGAGCAGCACTTTTACCCACTCTGCATCCCAGTGTTTGCTCAAATCCCATTTCCAAACCCGGCTTGCTGCTGCCAGCACCTCAGAGCTCTTTCCAACACTACTCAAGAGCAGTTCACCCCCTCTCTGGCAATTGGGAAATTGCTTTTTGGACAATCCTCGTGATTTTTGTTTGTTAGCAGCTGTTGGATGACCCCTCCTCAGGGACATCCTGGATTGAAGGAGTGTTTTTTGTGCCTTGCTGCACATTTGCTACCTCAAAGCAGGCCTGGCCTGAAGACCCAATGAACCACCAGGGATTTCCTCAAGGTATAGAAGGAGTTGGGCTGACAGCAGCTGAAAATTCTGTTTCTGCTGCCAGGAAATGCAAGACAGTGAGATGAATCTCTGAACATGTCTGGCACGAGGTATCAACCCTATGTGAGGTTACTGAGAGCAAACACCTTTCCCTGGTGGGAAAGAACAGCACATCCTGCCCTGCCAGAGCAGGCTCTGCCTTGGGTGCTATCCAAACTCTTCCTTCTCAGTGGAGAACTCCTGCTTCTCTAACAGGCAACATCCTTAAATTGAATTTTGCCCTCATTGAACTGAGTTACGCACCAGAAATTTTCTTCCCTAGAGAGGCCTCCCCTTCTCTTGTGCCCAACACTTCAGAACAGAGCCAGGCTGTGCTGGCAAATGGCTCATGAGAGTTTAAAATGCCCATCCCAATGTCCTGCTTGGACAGGGAGCAGTCAGAGACTGAGCAGAAAATGCTGTCCAAAGGTTTTAACAGGTTAAAAACCCCGTGAGTCCCACAGGAGAGCACTCAGCCCATGAGAGCAGATCAAAACCAGGAGCCACCAACCACACCAGAGCTTCCCACCTGCATCCTACCAGCAGCCTCAGTGTCCAGTGGGACACCATCAGCTCCTGAGGAGGGATGACCTGCAGCTCCACTGGAAAAGGAACTGGAGTCTTTGAGTCCCCCCTGTGCCCCTCCTCCCTCCTGCAAGAGGAGCCCACCCACCCACAAGTGAGTTTGCTCACACAGGCAATGGCAGTGCCAGTTCTCTGGCCAAAATCCTCTCCACTACTGATTCCAGCAGGATCTCCATGCAGCCAAAGCTCAGGCCTTCCTTCCCAAAGAATTTCACATCATTTTTATACCTTCTGCAGCTCCAGGAGCTGAAAGATGCCTCCTTAACCCACGGAGCAAAGGCTCTTCCACTCCTCCCTCCTGCTCTTTTTGGGAAGCTCAAATAACCCTCAACCACACCAAAAAGGGGGTGTTTCAGAGATGTCCCCCCCTCTTGAGGAGCAAGGCTAGAGCATCCCAGACCCAACCACCTTCCCAGGGCTCCCAGCTGAGAGGAATTCTCACTTTTCATGGTGAAGGAGAACATCCTGCTGCACCGGGTGACTTTCAGCCCCACACTGTCCCCCAGGCAGCTCAGACATTCCTCTGCACCCCTGAAACATTTCACCCCCACCCCTGCAGACCTTCAGCAGCACCTGGGGCACATCCCCAGCCCCTGGGCCACCACCCCGTGCCCACCAGCCACCACAGAAAGCCACAGGGCACGTGACAGCTTCTGGTGAGGGTGACAAGCTTCTTGCCCCCCCAGCTGAGCAGGTGTCCCCCCAGGAAGGCAGAGCAGAGCAGGGGCAGCAGCAGGTGTTAGTACCTCTCTGCAGGAAAGAGGCCGTTCTCTGGACAATCCCTGATGAGGAACAAAAGGATGGGAGACAAGGCATGAGGCAGGGAGGGCACGGCCCGGGGGGGCCAGCAGGGCTTCCAGCACCTCCAGGGCAGTGCTGAGAGCTGTGGGCATCTGACCCACCCTGGGGAGCCCCACAAGGCTCGGGGGATTGGGATGGGGGCCTGGGACCTCGCCCCACAGCAGGAGCTGGCCTGGGGGTGGGAGGAGGAGTTGGGGTGAGCAGCAGAGAGGAAAGGAGTCCTTACCAGACCTCTTCTTTCCAATGGGCTCCCTGAAAAAGAGAAGGAAGAGTGTCAGCAGAGCAAGGGGACAGGTGGGGAGTTGGCCAAGTGACAAACCCACCCAGGGCTGGCTCTGGTGGGGCCACTGACCCTCCTCAACCAGCCACTGTCCCCATGGGCATCACCCAGCTGCAAACAGCCCCTGCCCCCTCCTTTCATTTCATAATTTAATGTTTTGTCCTTCCCAGGCTGAGCTTGGCTCGGGCACTCATCCACGGGAGTATCAATAAAATGCAACAAAATGCAGCCAAGATGGAGTGGAAACAAACAGGACATTGTTACAGAAACTGCAGCCTGGTGAGGTCAGAGCCCACAGACTGTGCAGAGACCTGAACAGCACGTCCCAGGTGCAGACACCAACAGGGAATCTGGGACAGAGCGTCCCAAAGATTTCTAAACAGAGGCAGCGTTGCAGAGCTAAATCAGAGTTAATTAATAATCCCCATTAAAACTGCCCCAGTTCAGAGGTACCACAGGGAGGGGAGGCAAAGCAAGGCCAGATGAGCAGGCTGGAGAGCAGCAGGTGGGAATGGCACCCTGGTGCTGATGGGAATAACTGGAGTTTCTGCCCTGCCTCCTGCTAAAGCCATCACTGTAACTCATCCCTGCCTCCCTTCCCTGGCTGCTCCCTCTGGCTGAGGGGAAGGAGCTGCAATTCCACTTTGCTGCTGGGATGTTCCTGGCAGGGACACAAAGAGCTGCAGGTCTGAAGAGCAGCAGCCCTGGCCCAAGCACCTCAGAGGGGACAGGAGCTCAGACAAGACAGGAAACAGCAATAAAACCCTGGCAGCATCTCCTCCTCCTCCTCCTCCTCAGATCTCTGTGGAGCAGAGAAGGGCAGAGCAGAGCTCATGTGCTCCCTGGAAACTCAAGGCCCCAGCAGAAGGGAAAGAAAAACCACTCTGCCTTCCACTGTGAATCTCATTGAGCTGCAGCCCCCCAGCAGCCACAGCACAGCTGGGACAGGGGGACACCAACCAGCCCCACAGAGGTGGAAAAAGCAGGAATGCTTCTCCAGCTGCTTCCCAGAAGGCTGAAGGCAGAGGTTGCTGTGTGACTGGAGCCTCACTCAGAGCTCTGAGCCAACACCACAGCCTCAGTGGGCTCAGCTCAGTGTCCTTCAAGAACCTCATAATCCCCTGAAAGGAAACTCTGACACATGGAGAACTCTTAGCACATTCAATGCCACATTTTTTTAGGAAAAGAGTCAGGTTTCTCAAGCATCTTCTCTAGGCAGCATCCCTGAGGATCCAGGGGTGGGAAGGAGTGAGATGGGGAGCACAGAGGTTGAGCAAAGTGAGCAGACTTTAAAAATAAATTACAAACAAATACAAAGAGGCTGCTTTTCCACAACCTGTAAGACAAGTGTTAAACTGCTCACTGCAGGATGCTGGGGACACTGAAATTCTTCATGGACTTACAGGGTCATAATTCAGGCAAGAAATGTTAACTAAAAGTCATTAATTATAAAATCCAGGTCTAAAGAAGAGTTGTTACAAGCTGGCTTGAGTTTATAAACCCTTTATTAAGGTACATTTGGGCCAGGCAGGTCCAAGAGCTGCAGGGGAAAACCCACCTTGCAGCAGGACTCACAGAAGAAAAGTGTCCCCAAATGTGGCTTTGGGGACCTCAGCACTGCCCCTGCTGCCACAGCTAGCTGCTGGAATAGGTGAAGGACTGGAGCACCAACAGAAGGAAAACAACTGCAGCTGCTGCAAACCCACACAGCAGCCACATCAAACAGGACGGATCTGAGGTCAGCATTCCAAGAAAACATCTCCCTCATATAAAAAAAACAACAAAAAACCCTCTCTTGTAAAAATGTCCTGCTGTAACTCAGTAATGCCACCAAAATAGCTGTCAGGAGGGGCTTCATCTCCTAAGCATTCAGCAAGCTTGGAGATGTTGTGAGATTTCTGGAGGCAAGGAAGGGGCACAAGAGAGCCCTTGTTTGGGAGAAGGGATGTTTAGAAATGCTCCAGCAGCACTGAAAGGAGCCCTGGCCCCACACTCCAGGGCCACTGCAGAGTTGGCCAAGCTGAGCCTCCAGGCTCAGAACCTGCCCTGGTGGCTCAGAAAAGGCAGTGCTCTGTCCAGGGAGCTGGCACACAGCAGGGCTCTGCAGAAACGTGTGTTTCTGTCTGCTGGCACCCAGCACAGCCAGCCCTCAGCAGAGAGGGAAGCAGGAGGCTGATCTGGAGCTGGGATCCAGCCTGAGCTCCTGGTGAGTGTGCACGTGGGAAGCAGCAGAAATGCAAAACAAACAGCTTTGTGTACAAGCTGTGATCTGTCTGGAGAGCAGGACATGACCCCAAAGCTACAAGCCAGCAAGAATCCTTATCCAAACCAACTCATGGGTCTCTGGTCCACCAGCAAAAGCTCCTGGAGTGGCCTCCTGCAGCCACTAGAGCAGGGACAAAGCTCAAAGCAACAGCTTTTATAAGTGTTTTATACATGATGGGCTGCTCAGCTCCCCAAAAACCCCAGTGAAAGATGCTTTTAACTGAAGAGGTTTCTCATGGCCAGGGGTGCATCCCATCCCCAGGTGGGGAACAGCACCACGACAGCCCCTTCCCCACCACACCCCCCTTGTAACTGTGGGCAGTGAATAAATAACTGCTTGGTGAGATTAATAACCAGTTAGCCATGAATATTAATAATTTATTCATAACTATTAGGGCCTTGCTTCTCTACAGAGTTAACCTGGGCTCCCTCATGTCCCAGAGCTGAAATTCAGCTGCAGGAGAGAGCAGCTGAATGCCTTGACTCAGCAGTGGCTCCGTGCCCAGCCCCTCAGACCTCCCCAGCCTCATTCCAGCCCCTCTGCTGTGGTTAAACCAGCGCTGAGCTGAGAGGGCTGGGTGGGAGTGAGGGGTGCCCACAGCAACCTCCCAGCTCAGCATCCTGTGCTGGTCAGACCTGCTGAGACGTGGGGAGCAGGAATTTGATGACTTGTGTTCTTTGAAGCTGCAGGGCTTCCATCCAACACTGAGGAGAAAAATCCCACATCCCCCAGATTGCTAACTTTCCAGAGGTTTCTTTTTCCAGAACTATTTCTCTTCTCCTCCTTCCCTCTTCATTAATTCCTCTGGATTCAGCCTCATTCTGCCCCACACTGGGCAACCCTGGGAGTTGGAAGCAGGGGGGTAATTCCAGTCCAGAGCTGGCTGGACAGGGATCCACATCACAAAAGCCACCAGCTGTCACTGCCAGGAGACACCCTGCCACCTCCCCCTGCTCTCCTGTCTGATGTGGTCACTCCAGGACACAGGAAAGTTTGGGATGAGGAAAGAGGGGATGGAGGGAGGGCTTCACCTCCCTCCTCCACCCACCAAATTCTGGAGATTCCTGTCTCAACTCCACTCCTGGCTGTGACATCCTGCCCAGCTGGGAGCAGGGGTGGAAGGAGGAGGAATAAAGTCAGAGTTTGACCCTTTTCCTCTCCCTGGGACAGTCTGGGCTTGGAGAGCAAGGGGGAGCTTGGGGAGGCTGAGGACTGCTCCTGTTCCTGCTGAAGGGAGCAGGAAAAGCTGGAGAGCCCTGGCCTGGGGAGAGCTCCAGCTCTGGGGAAAACAACACCACAGGGGCCTGGAGAGAAATGCTTGGGCTGTCCAGCCTCCTCTTTCCATTCCCAAACACTGCCAGAACCAAGGACTGAATTCACCCTTTGCAGTTAAACCAGAGCTCCATAAACTGCAGTTAAACCAGAGCTCCACAAACTAAAGTTAAATGAGAATTCCATGACTTACAGTTAAACCAGAGCTCCAAGAACTGCAGTTAAACCAGAGCTCCATGAATTTCAGTTAAACCAGAATTCCACAAACTGCAGTTAAACCAGAGCTCCATGAACTTCAGTTAAACCAGAATTCCATGAATTGCAGTTAAACCAGAATTCCATGAATTGCAGTTAAACCAGAATTCCATGACTTACAGTTAAACCAGAGCTCCAAGAACTGCAGTTAAATCAGAGCTCCATGAACTTCAATTAAACGAGAATTCCACAAACTGCAGTTAAAACCAGAATTCCAAGGACTGCAGTTAAATCAGAATTCCATGACTTGCAGCTAAAGCAGAATTCCATGAACTGCAGTTAAACCAGAGCTCCACAAACTAAAGTTAAATGAGAATTCCATGACTTACAGTTAAACCAGAGCTCCACAAATTGCAATTAAAGCAGGATTCCATGAACTGCATTTAAACCAGAATTCCAAGGACTGCAGCTAAAGCAGAATTCCATGAACTGCAGTTAAACCAGAGCTCCACAAACTGCAATTAAAGCAGAATTGCATGAACTGCAGCTCAAGCAGAGCCCCAAGGGCTGCAGGCAGCTGTGGCCTCTTGCAGGGTTTGACACCCTGGGGTGCAGTGAGTTGGGTGAGCCTCACCTGCCCCCAGACAGAACAAGCACAGGGTGGATCCAGCAGCACTCACAGGCACGTCCCCTCCACTGCCACCCTCGTGGGCAGGGGTGAGCAGAGGTGCCAGCCAGGGAAGCCACGGGAAGGGACAGGGAGCAGGAAGGTTCCTGTGAGAGTGGCTGACCGTTCCCACCTTTCAGCCACCCAGCATAAAAATATTCTCCTTTTATTTTTTCCTTTTTTTTTTTTCCTTTCCCCCACTCTGCTCATGGCCTGGCTCCCTTTCAAATTCCCAGAGCAGAGTATTTGTGTGCTGGATGAAGGATGACATCCAGCCCAGCCCCAGACACGCCATCACGTCTGATCCAGCCCCGCCGTCTATCACAGCTCCCATCTCCTTAGTGCTGAGCTGGCAGCACTCCAGGCCTTGGGAATGGGCTCCCAGTCCCTCCAGAGGAGACAGTCAAGGACTTGGATTAATTAGCATTTTGAATTGTAGCTAATAAATACCCCTCTGGCATCCGGAATGGGATGGGGGACACGACGGGGATGTCCTTGAGATGCTGCTGTAGGGTTTGGCTGCTGGAGGCAAAGGGACAAGGGGCACCCTCTGGGTCCCTCTGTGTGCTGCAAGCTTGGATCTCCTCCTGGAGAGCAGGAGAAAGGGGAGCAGCACATTCCCCACGGAGAGGGGGAGAAAGGGAAGCAGCACAACCACCACTGGATTCAGCATCACCTGCTCACCCTGCAGTGGTCAAAACTCACCAACTCACAGAATTCTGCACCCAGGACCCTGTGGATTGTCCCACCATAAAAAACCATGTTTGGGATTGGGCTCCAGGCAGTCCCCTGTGTCTCAGACCCAAAGCAGGGAGGTGACAGGGGACTGGCACTGATGGCTGCAAGGACAGAGGGCTGGGAGCTGCAGCTGCAAGCACAGCAGCTCACAGGGCTCCCCACTCAGCACCCAAAGGTCTCCCTCCACACCTGAATGCTCTGACCACAGTGCCCACCCCGCCTCGTTTCTGTCTCAGCCTAAAAATCAAAACAAAGGTGAGGAGAGCAGGTGTGAGGCTGAAGCTGCCCTTCCATCCCCCGTGCTGAAGGTCCCTCACTGCAGGCAGGTCCAGGACCTGACTCCTACTGCAGAGCAGCTCCTCCTCCTCCTGCAGGGCTCCAGGATCCCTGCACAGACAGTGCCCCACATCCCAAAACCCTGTGATACCCCCCCTCTGATGTCCTTGCAAGCTCATCTTGTCCTGGTGTCCCTTGAGCTGAGCCTTCCCTCAGGAATGACCCTCCTTGAGAAATGACCCTCCCCTGAGGGATGACCTTCCCTAAATGATGACCTTCCCTAAAATGACCTTCCCTGGGGGATGACCTTCCCTGAGGGATGACCCATGGAGCAGCAGGTTAAGTGGTGAGCAATAGCTGGGCAGGACAGATGACAGCGTCAGCGACAGCAAGCAATTAGTTAATGGGCTCTGGGGCTCTCAGACCAATCTCATCAGTGACCACGAGCTGCAGGAGAAATGATGACAGGCCAAGCCAACAGAAACAGGAGCCAAAGGAGGGAAGCAGGGATGGGGGAAGGGGGAATTAAGAGAGGGAATGAAAATAATAAAAAAGCCAGCGAGAAGATGCTGTCCACACAAGAAGCATACTGAGCTGACAGGCTCAGCTGCTGCTCAGGGGAGAAAAACAAAATCCCTTTATCTACCTCTTTATCCTTCCAATAGAGAGTGGTGTCAGATCGATTTATTGCCTTTCCCCTGACAATCAATCAGGCCTCCTCCACTGCTCAGAGCCGTGTCACATGCAGCAGGGAAAGGGAGAGCAGCAGAGCAGGACACGGCGCGGCTGCTCAGAGCTCTGCTGCTCCTGATTAGCAGGAGATGGGTGGCTCCAGGCCAGAGCAGCTCACAGTCACAAGACTTAGAACCACACTGAGTTGTGGAAGGCATGCAAGATTCCCTGCAAGCCTTGCTGGGATTGCATGGAGAGGCTCTGGAGCGTGGGTATGGATGGGGCTCGTGGATATGGGGAGGCAAAGTGCCCTTCCAGGGAGGCAAATGTGTGAAGTGAGGCTCTTCAGGCTGATCATGCTCCTGAGACTGGTATTTGCAAGTAGAAAGAGACTCAGGAAGAGACCAGCACTCCATGGGGTCCCAGAGAAGTGTTTCCACTTCCCCACTGGAGAAAAGTGTCCACACTGAGCTGCAGAGCCTCTCCACCAAAGCCTCCAAATCCCAGATCTGTCACTCACAAGGGAACTGCTCATGAACACCAGAGCCCTGGATATCAGCGAGCCCAAGGCAGTTTGTGTCTCATCACATCCCAGTTTGTGTCTCACCATCATTCCAGTGTGTGTCTCATCACATCCCAGTTTGTGTCTCATCACATCCCAGTTTGTGTCTCACCATCATTCCAGTTTGTGTCTCATCACAATCCCAGTGTGTGTCTCATCACAATCCCAGTTTGTGTCTCATCACAATCCCAGTGTGTGTCTCATCACATCCCAGTTTGTGTCTCAACACAATCCCAGTTTGTGTCTCATCACAATCCCAGTTTGTGTCTCATCACATCCCAGTTTGTGTCTCACCATCATTCCAGTTTGTGTCTCATCACAATCCCAGTGTGTGTCTCATCACAATCCCAGTTTGTGTCTCAACACAATCCCAGTTTGTGTCTCACCATCATTCCAGTTTGTGTCTCATCACATCCCAGTTTGCCTCTCCCCATCCCAGTTTGTCTCTCCCCACCCCAGTTTGTCTCTCCCCACCCCAGCTTGTCTCTCCCCAGCCCAGTTTGCCTCTCCCCAGCCCAGTTTGTGTCTCATCACAATCCCAGTTTGTGTCTCATCACAATCCCAATTTGTGTCCCCACCATCCCAGTTTGCCTCTCCCTATCCCAGTCTGTCTCTCCCCACCCCAGTTTGTCTCTCCCCATCCCAGTTTGCCTCTCTCCATCCCAGTTTGTCTCTTACCACCCCAGTTTGCCTCTCTCCAGCCCAGTTTGCCTCTCCCCAGCCCAGTTTGTGTCCCCACCATCCCATTTGTGTCTCCCCCCTCCCAGCAGTGGCACACCCACCCAACTCACTCTTTGGGGGGGGTCAGGTCGTCGGGCCGTGTCTCGAAGAACTGCAGCACCTCCTCACACTGGGAGATGTAGGGGGGCAGCTGGATCAGAGCCTGGGGAGCAAACACACACACTGCTGATGGCAGCACCCAAACTGTGCCAGCAGCCCGGCGAGGGACTGCAGGGACCTGGGACACCCGTGGCACCCACAGCAAACCCAGAGAGCCCCACTTCCACCCACCACCCCATCCTGCTGCACTTAGAACTAAAGGAAAATAAGCACAGACTGCCCAGGCCCTGCTTAGGCAGCTCCAGCCTTTTGTGTGAGAGGCTGAGAGCCCCAGGGTGTCCATCCAGCCTCCCAGCTCTGTTCCCAGCCTGGAGCAGCCATCCCTGGGAAAGGCTGGGCACTTCACACGTGGCAGACTCTCAGTGCCAGCCCAGCACAGCCTAAAAATGCTCCCCTGGGCAGTGGCAGCTTGGGAAGGGGCAGGGAGAGAAGCAAGGGAGGCAAGAGCACAGACACCAGGGCTGGGAGGCTGCTCTGCTGCTGTGGAATGGCAGGAGATGGAAAATTCCCCCTGCTTCTTTCCCTTCAAGGAATCTATTGTAAAAAGTCTTCAACAGTGGGACCTGCAGGGTGAGAGTGCCTGGCTGGGAGGGCAGTGGAGAAAGGGAGTATTTACAATCAGGGAGCAGAGCTGCAGCCTGACCTGGAGCAGATTTATAACCAGTTTTCTGTACAATTCCCCCTCCCCTCTGCTTGCTGTCCCAGCAGTCCCGTGACAGGAGCGTGGGCAAAGCAAACCTCCCCTCATTTCTCTCCTGGACACAAAACCACAGCTGCAGAGCCCAGGGTGACCACAGAGATCAGATGTGGCTCCTCACTGCCCCAAGTGCTGGCCCCCAAAGCCCTTCCAGCCACTGAGCAGCAGTGCCAGCACAGCAGACTGTCAGACCACTAATCACAGGCCAGACTGAGCAGCATCATGTGAGACACAGCAGAGACAAAACCCTCCCTCCACGGCTTCTGGGCCCAGGCAAGGGCTATTCAGATATCAGGTTTTGCAAGGATGCCATTCCCATGTGGTACCACTCCCCAGCTCCAGCATCCCATGATCTAAGTGATTCCCCCATGCCAAAATCCCTGGGATTTTGTGGCCTGGAGAGGGCTGTGTGTCCTCTGAAAGCAGGGGATGATCCCAGAGTGACCCCTGTGCTGGAAGGAGGAGACACAGCTCATTTCCCAGCACGTTTGGAAGGAAGCCCACCCAGAGCTGACTGTGCTGAGCCAAGCAGGTCACCCTGCAGAACAGAAACAGAGGCACAGGCAGCCTGATGTCTGTCCCACCTCTGCAGCCAAAGCAGGGCCAGCAGGGCACAGCTCTGGTGCTGGAGCCACAGCAAAGTCACCTTCCCATCCTTCCTGTCATCCTGAGGAGAAAGGGCCAGACAGAGGATCCTTGTTGGATTAAAATCCATTTTGCAGGCAGTGAGAGAGGATTTTCTCAGTATTCTCAGTGGGCCACCCAGGCTCTTTGGGGTAGAGCATCACCACTCCTCCATCAACCCCCCTCTGACACTTTCCCAAAATCCCTCAGACAGGAGGAAGGCAGATCCCACACGAAGAGAAAGGCTAAAGAGAATAAACTGGAGAAATGGGAAGACATTTCAGGCCTGAGCTCCCTCTCCTTGCCAATCCCATGGCTGTTTGAAGTCTCATTTAGCAACTCATTGCTCTTACCACTTTGCTCTGATTCCTTCACTGCTTTTCCTGCACTTTATCTTAAATTGCCACATTTTCCAGTAAAACAGAAGCTCTTCAGCAGGAACACTGCCCTGTGAAGGCAGTGGTTCCCCCCCTGCTCCTCCTCCCTGCTTCCACCCCAAATCTCACCCAGAGAACCGAGACACCCAAATTCCCCCAGAGGAGACAGCAGCAAAGCAGAAACTTCCTCACACAGCTTCCTCCTGCTAATCCCTTGCTCATTTCCCATCTCTGCAGCCCCTGGTCGCTCCCACAGCCAGCTCAGCTCAGCTGCTTTCCGGGTAAGCAGCAGCAGCTCAAGGCCAGGAGGGAGAGCTGGGAACCCCTGGGTGATGCATTAACGGGAGGGAGAGCACAGCTCCCTAAGTGGGCCATAGAACATCAGCCATTACCTTCCTCTGGTGAAGTCAAATGGGTTCATTAGATTTTATGCCACTAATGGCACGGCTGTGAAAGAGGCAGCAGCAGCATTTCATCACTGAGGGACGTTTTCTTCCCCAAAATGGAATTTACGGCCGTGTCTGGCTGTGCAGCTGACACGGGGGACAAGCACCAGCAGCCTCCCCCAGGACAGCTCAGAGCACACCTTCCCACACCTCCAGCACTCTGCCCTCAGCTGCTCTCCTGGCCCGCAGTGATTCTCATCTGCAGCCCCTCTGCAGGGCTGTCAGGATGCATTTCCCAATCCATCTCCACCCCTGGAGTTGTTATTCCAGCCACGGCCTCCCTGCCAGGGGCTTGGCTGAGCCCCAAAGCCCACAGCCTCCCCCAGCACGCAGAGGCACTGCCACACCTCCCTCACCTAAGGGATGCCATGGATATTTTACCATTTCCCCAGCTCCTCCCATGGGTTTTGCAGTCTTTGCATGCATTTCCAACAACATTCAGACTGGATTTTGGAGGTACCAGTCCTACCATGGCTGCTGCAAGTACTAAAGCATGTTTTTGACATGATGAGATGTGACACACTGGATTTGTGTGAAAATAGTTTGTCATGGACTTCAGTATTTTTTTTCCCCTGCCAAAAAAAATCTGCCCTAAAATAATAATTTCCCTTCCACTTCAGCCCAGTTTTATATCCTTCAAGAGTATGGAGCAAATTGTCTCAGCCTTCTCTCTGTTCCAATAACTTTCTGAGGTACAACTCATCTTTACCCTGTTTTTGTAACCAGTAACTGGAGTCTGCATGCCAGTTTGGAGCCACCCCACTATCCTGGCACTGCCTGAGGTGTGTCCTGTGAAGGGCTTTGAATAAATCCCTGTTTTATCCCTGAACTCTGCCCAGCCTCTGCTCCAGGCAGCCTCTGAAGGCACCAGGGCAGCACTGGCACAGCACGAGGTGCTGTCAGCCCATCAGGAGGGAGCTGGGCCAAGCTGGGATTGTCCTTGGTGGGTGTCCAAGGATAGGGAGCTGGGGGTGTGGGTGATTCTGTGTGTGATTCTGTGTGATTCTGTGTGTGATTCTTTGTGTGAGTCCATGTGTGATTCTGTGATTCCGTGTGTGATTCCGTGATTCTGTGTGTGATTCCGTGTGTGATTCTGTGATTCTGTGTGTGATTCTGTGTGATTGTGTGATTCTGTGATTTTGTATGTGATTCTCTGTGTGATTCTATGGTTCTGTGTGATTCCGTGTGTGATTCTGTGATTCTGTGTGATTCTCTGTGTGATTCTGTGATTCTGTGTGATTCTCTGTGTGATTCTGTGGTTCTGTGTGTGATTCTGTGGTCTGGAAGCCCCTCACCTTGCAGTACTCATCAATGGGGATCAGCCGTTTGACTGCGACGTCGCGGATGTGGCTCCGGCGGAAGAGGATCTTCCCTGAAACACAGAGGACACAAGGACAGGTCAGCTCAGCACTCTGGGATCACTCTGTCAGGACCTTTTCCCTGCACCCCCTCTTCCTCCCAAAAGCACCATACCCAAAAAAGCCCATTCCACACACAGAATACCTCATGAGAATGAGGCACAGTCCAAGTGGCAAGGACACTCCAGGAGAGAGAGGAGGAAACAGCTCCCAGCAAACTGCATCCCCTGGTCTCCCACCAGTGATGAGGAGCAGCCCCCACCAAAGCACACCTCATGCTTGCTGGTGTGCAAGTCTGGGGTGGACAAAATCCCTGGCAAACGCTGCAGGACATCCCTTGTGCCATTGTCCAGGGTGTCCAGCGTGGGCAGCAGCCAAGCCAGAGGGTTTTTCCCTGTGCAGCTCCTGGAAGCCACAGTGTCTGCAGCTCTGAGTCAGACCTATAGAATTTTCCTTCCTGTCTGGGGTTTATTTTTGTTCTCCATTAATGGGATCCTCTTGCCACTCCGTTTCCTCCCCTCTGGCTTATGGTACAGGCCTCTTGCCTTTGAAGCCTAATGAGTCCTAAATGCTTCAAGCTGCTCTCTCAGAGAACAGCTTCTCTGGTTTAAGCAGACAAAAGCCATTAGCAGACAGTGAAACAGATCCCTGATCAAAAGGGGTGGTGCTGGCAGGATTTCAGACCACTTCCCAAAGCTCCAGGAACTGGCACTGCTCTGCAACACCACCACCTGGAAAAGTGTGCTTTGGGGGGTGGCTGGCAGTGAAGTGCCCTCAAGCTCCTCCTGGCAGCTCCAATACCACAGGAAAGGCTTTTTTGTGCCTGCTTGGGTTTCCAGTCCCATCCCTGAACCCAAGGAGAGCAACAAGCCCTTCATTTATCAAAGGGGACAAGCCAGAAGCCAAACTCCCCTCACTCCACCCTTGCAAACCACTTGAGAGCAGGGAAAAAGCACTTGGGCAGTCACAGCATGGCTTTGTCCCTTTGTCCCTTTCCCTCTGGAATTACTGAAGCCAGGGGCTGGATGCTACTAAGAACAAGACACAGGAAAATGATCACATGATTCTGACAATTATAAATCCAGGGCTGAGTCACTGATCAGGATTTGACATCCAGGGCTGGGTGATTTATCCCAGAGTGAAATCCAGGGCTGGGTCACCCCCTGTGCCTCTCCCTGACTTGGCCAGGAGCTGGGTCACGGGTGGCTTGTGCAATCTGCCAATGCATTTTTTGAAGCAGAGATGAACTAAAGCCAAGCCAAGTTCAGCCTGCAAAGAGCACGAGCAAGAACCTTCTGGAGGAGCCAAATCTCCTGCCAGGCCAAGTTAAAGCTTTGGAACAGGACTGGATCCACTCAGAGGCAGCTCCATCCTTGCCCTGCAGTGAAGGGAGGGGGTCAGGCAGCTCAGGCCAGGATTGCTCCTCATTTCTGAGCCCCTGGCAGCAGGGCTGGGACACTGCTGGTGGGAAATGCTCTGCTCTGCAGGGCAGTCCCTCTCAAGGCGTGCCAAGAAGAGCCAAATCTGGCAGCCTTTGTGACAGAGTGAGAACAAAATCCCCCTCTATTCAATCTTTTCCAGTTTTGAGGGTGAAGAGCCTGGGAACAGGGGATTTGTCTGGGAAAACTGGGACCAGCACCCAGGCTGGAGCTCCATTCCTTGCCCTGAGCAATTCTTTTCCATCTGAAAAGAGAATGATCAAGTTTTGCCTTTGCATCAGCAATCCCAGCGTGTTTGCTGCCGAGGATTCTGTTTGATGATTGCTAAAAAGATGAATGGATCACACCAGCTCTGCTGGCAGTGGAGGGAATGGCTGTTCTGGTTCTAGGTCTGCCAAAATGAAATCACTGCTGGGTGGGTAGGTTATAAATGGCTGAAATAATAAGCTCTGGGTGTGGGAATATTGAAATGTTTAACAAACATATGCTAGTGAGTAATAATAAAAAGAATACAGTTTGGGGGAATAAATTCATCACAAGTGATCTTAAATTAGCCCAGGCATGGAGCATGTGAAGCAGCAGGAAATCCAGCTCCTCTCTCTGTTTGCTCTAGATCTGGTATTTTTCAACAAGGAAGTTTATTTTCTAACAAAAAGCTGACTTTAATCAAAAAGCCTAATTAACATAATTGCAGCCCCTTCAGTGCTGCCAAATCCAGCAGCTGCCAGGCAGGAGAGAGCAGGAAACCCCTCCTGGAAGGGAGAGCTGGGCAGCTTGCAGGGTCAGGGAGATGCAGCATTTCCCCGGGCAGGTTTTCCTTGGCCCTGACCTAAACCTGGGAATTTGGGGAGGAATTTCAGCAGAGCTGTGCAGGGGGGCTTTTCCCATGGCCAAGCACAACACGAGGGGAGCACAGGAGACTGAGGGGTGCAGAGAGCACCTGAATGATGCTGCAGCTCCTGGGGAGGGCTCCCACCACCTCATTTCCTCCCTGGGGCTGTTCTGGCTGCTTCCAGAAGCTGTAAGGATCCTCAGCCAGGTGCTGGAAGTGTCCCAGGCCAGGCTGGACAGGGCTGGGAGCACCCTGGGAGAGTGGAGGTGCCCTGCCCACGGCAGGGGTGGATGAGGTGACCTTTAAGGTCCCTTCCAACCCAAACCATTCCATGGCTCCACGATTCCAAACTCATTTTCCCCCTCCCAGCACTGCTCCTGCCTCAGGATGAGGAGCACCAAGGACAAGGGGGCAGCTCTGCTGGTAAAGGGGTTTTCCATCAGCTGCAAAGGCCAGTGCTGCTGCAGGCTCCATTTGCTCAGCTTCTCTCTCTTGTCACCATGCCAGGACTCAGAAATAATTGGATTTTCTTATTTACATAGATAATGTGATGCATGAGCAATGGGAGCAGCGAGGCTCCATCCCTGCTGGCACCAGGAATTCCCTCCAGCAGGAAGTGTGGTCAAATACACTGTAAAAATACCCTGTAAAACACACTGTCCTCTACACAAACAAAGCTGAGACAGCACTGAACATTTATCAGCCAGGAATGTGTCAAACAAGTTGATTTTGGAAAACGAGGACTGAGATAAGGCTCTAACACACAATGGCTGCCCTGGCTGTGCAAGCACCCACGCTCCAGGACCTGCTGCCTGTTTTTTCTGGGCTTCAAAAACCTGTTAATCCCTACAAAGGAAAAGAGAAGCTCTGCTGAAGGGATTCTGTCTGGCCATGAAAATTCCTCTGGTGCCAGAAAGGATCTGTTCCCCAGGAGTGGAAGAACCAAACTCTGTGGGTAATCAAGGCTGATTTGCTTTATCTGATTGACCCAGAGCAAAAATTGATGGAGCAGCTCCCAAAGAGGGGGCTGGAAAAAAATGCAGCCTGGTCCCCACTGCCTGAGGCCTTCATTGGGACTGGGAAGGGTCAGGAGACCTTGGGGACAAGGCTGATGAGGAATTTGGGTCTCCAGCAGTGCCAGCCAGGGCAGGCAGGCCACAGGAGGGGTTAATCTCTCCAAACAAACAAAACCAGGGGAAACAGGGCTCTGCAAATTGTTCCCTCCTGGGGGAATTCTCCAGGTAGAGCTGGAGTTGTACCGGGAGCAAGGAGCTGGGGAAAAAAAATTTAAAAAAAACACAAAAAACCCCCAAAAACCCCAACCAAATAAAAAAAAAACAAAAAAAAAAAACCCCCACCAAAACAACAACAACAACAAAAACCCAGAAAAAAACAGGCAGAGGGACCTTAAGTAGCAAAATTGTGGAGCCAAAAGCTGGATCTGCAGCAAGCTGAGAACCCCAAACACATCCCCCTGGGCAGCCCTGCTGTGAACCAAGCCAGGGGCTCCAGGAGTGGAAAAGCAGCTGTGCCTCCTGCTTTGCCCTGGAGGAGTCCCCCCTCTCTGCCCCTCCCCACGGCCTCGGAAAGAATTCACTCCTCTGCACCTTTCAAATCACATCCAGACCTTCCCCAGCACGGGTTCCAAGCTCACTTCAGAGAAAAGGCAGCCCTGGATGCACACGTAATTAATCCCAGCCCCTGGAGCAGCCAGCTTTTCCTGGGCTGGGGGACCAGGCGTGGGAGGTGGTGTTGCCAGGAGTCCTGCACTCAGCATCTGCCCTGTGCAGGGGTGCAGCCTGCCCTCCCCAGCTGCCACAGCAGAGATCCCAGCTCATCAGAGCACAAAACAGCAACGAGGACCCTGCCCCATCTCCAGCCCACAGGAAGATGCAACAGGGCTCAGCAAAGTCAGGTACCACAGCTGGAAAATGGATGAGTTTTCCCCCACTTCACAGAGGTTTTGTGGGGAGCTAAAGCACCCTCACAGTTATCCTGGGAGAAAATCCCCAAATTTGTGGGTGGCATTGATGCCCACACCCAGCAGGCTGGTGGGTTGGCAAGGGAGCAGAAAGCAGGGCTAATTCTGCTTTTAAAAACCTCCCCAAGCCCCTTTCTCCTCCTCCCTTTTCAGGACTTCACTGCTAAATCTTCCTCAAAAGCAGTTTTACAGCCAAAGTGAGCTCAGCTCAGGCAAGCCCTCCTTGCTGAGGCTCACGTTTCCAGCGAGGCAGGGCTGGCCAGGAGCTGCTCCAGGCCACTGGGGCTGCAGGCAGCTTGGAAAGCTCCACGTTCCTTAGAAAAGCTGTTTCCTGCAGGATCTGGCACAGCCCTCCCCAGCTGAGCTCATCTGTTTGCTCTGCTCTTTCTTTCTTTCGTTCTTTCTTTCTTTCTTTCTTTCTTTCTTTCTTTCTTTCTTTCTTTCTTTCTTTCTTTCTTTCTTTCTTTCTTTCTTTCTTTCTTTCTTTCTTTCTTTCTTTTTCTTTTTCTTTCTTTTTCTTTCGTGTGGATGGGCACCAGCAGGGCTCTGCTCCTCTGCAGCTGCTCCAGACCTTGCCAGGGGCACAGCTGGTGCCAGCCACGGGCTGGGTGCTGCCACAGCTGCTCCAGCACCACAAAAAAAGCTCTGCCAGGGGCTCAAAGCCAGCTGAGAGAGCTCAAAAAGCACTTCAAATTCCCCTCAGAGCTTTCCAGGCACAGAGCAGGAGCACTGCCAGGAAAATCCAAAGCCCACCAGGCTCTGCTGTGGGATGGAGGTGGTGCCAGCACCCAGAAAGGGACAAGCCCTGGCCCCACAGCTCAAGAGAGCTGCTGTGCTTTGCAGGACCCAGCTCTGTGGCTCCACAGTGGGCTGAAGGACTCCTGCACTTCCAAAAGCCCCTCCTGATAGCATCAATGACCAGCTCAGAGAGGCCAAAGTCTCCAGAGATTTCCCATAAAAAGTCAAATCCTCAAAGCAGGCACTCACAAAATGAGGCCACACCAAGCCAGCAGGGTTGCTGTGGGCTGGTGTTGGAATGTGGGGCAATCCTGGAGCTCCTCTCCATGCCAGGGAACCAGCCTGACACACAAAGCCCTGGCACCTGCTCAGGTGGAGGTGCTGACCCCGAGCTTGGGGCACTTGGGGGTTTGCTGAGGAAGCCAGAGCTGCAGGAGGCATTTTGGAGAGCTGCAGTGGTGCTGCTGCGCAGGGGCTTCCCAGAAAGCAGAGGGCTTGCAGGAAACCACAGCGGCCAAATCTCCCCTGCTAATGAAATTCAGATGCTCCAAATGGCATTGGGAACAAACTCCAGTATTCCCAGAAGCTGGACACCATCAAAACCCAGCAAGTCTAGGGAGACAGAACCACATTTGTGCAGAAAACCAGTCCCAGGCTCACCTGGGCTGGGAGAGACAGAGCTGGGGGTCACTGCGACAAAACTTCTTGTCACCCCAAGCTGGGCAGGCAAAGAACTGCTCCAGACAGGAACCAGGCAGCCAGCAAATACTGAAAGAGCCTTCAGGTGAAATCCTCTGTCAGAAGCAGGGCTTGGCCACGCTGTCACAGCTCCAGGGACAGCCACAGCTCCAGGGACAGCCACAGCTCCTGCCTGCCCCAGGAGCTGAGGACAAAGGCAGCACGGTGGTTCCCAGCCCCAGCCACACACCTTCCCCGAAGCACTGGCCTCCAGGAGCTGGCCCGGGTTCATTTTCCAGCAATTTCCACCCCCTTTTTTCCCACAGTGGAAATCCCAGTGACACGTTTCCGAGCAAAGGGGAACCATTCCAGCACCAGGGAGAAACAAGTACTGGTGAGTGCGAGCAGCAGGGCTCGGACCAGGCTTCCCTCCCAAAAACAGCAGAGTTTTGGTGGGAATTTTCTGCAAGTGCAGCAGGGCCAAAGCACAAATCCAATTTTTCCAAGTGATGCCCTTTGCCAGTTTGGCTCCCATCCCTCCCTGCTGGCAGGAGCACTTGTACAGCAAGAGCTTTTGTGCTCTAACACCAGCTGAGCTTTGCTTTTGCTGATGTTACAAAGCCAGGACAAGCCAGAATCAGAAACCCAGACCAGATTCTCTTGCTCAGAAAGGGGTGGAAATTATTTAATTTTTTTTTCCACTCAGAGCAAAGCAAAGCCCACAAAGGCCTTTGTGTTCCTAGAAGAGCCAGGAGGCAGAGCACAGCACAAAGGCTGCACTAAACAGACCTGACAGCCACTGGAAGTGATTATGGTGCCCTGACATTCCTAAATATCCTCATTAGCTGCTGGGGGTGGGGGCAAAGACAACTCTGTGGTCAAAGGGACTCCCCACAGGCTGCTCATTTTCCCAAGGCACATTTGGGCTCTTTTTCCCCCCACAGCTGCAGCCACCAGCAATCCTCACACCACAAAGTGCCAGGGATTATCACATCTGTGCTCTGGGCATGAAACCACTGGTGCTGGGCACGGCACAGCAAGGCTGGTTTTGAGCAGTGCCTCCCAAACACCACGGCAGGAGGCCAGGGCTGTCCATCAGCCTGAGCTCCATTGTCCTTTCCCTCCCTCTGGTGTCCCCTGCAGCTGCACAGGACAGGGAAAGCAGCGTGGCAGCAGCTTTGGGGAGCCTCACACCACCCTCAGCCCCGTGCAGGTGGGGCTCTTGGTCTTCCACTCAACAATTCTGGAGTTCAGAGAAATCCTGGGGGGTTTAACACCCACTGGGCACACTGCTGGCAAATCCAGAGGTGTTAAAGAACTCAGTGATGCCCAGGTGGTGCAGCAGGTAAGAGCTAAATTCTGTGTGTGCTCCCACGTGTGTGTTTGCTCCCAGTCCCACAGAGTGGGAAAAAGCTCCTGCAGTGCCACAACCAGCCTGGACCCTGCTGAGCCATGTCCTACCTGGCAGAAAGGGGATGATCCTTTGCTTGGGGTCCTTCTGGCCTCCTTCCATGGGGAACTTGTCCAGCATCTGCATCTAGGAAAGGAAATGCAAGAGAGGTGAGGAAGGTCAGGGATTCACTGGCAGGACACACCCAGAGGCATCCAACACTCCCTCCTTTGGGAGGAAGATCCAAACCCCCCTTTGGTTTCCCCAGGCCATGGATCTGAAGTGTCTCCTGACATTTCTGCAGCTCCCAGGGTGCTGAAATGGGTCTGGCTGTGTCTGCTGGAGCTCTGTGCCCAAAGAATTCACATTTTTGGAAGCACTGGAGTGTCCTGAGCACCTGGAAAGTCCAACCAGCCCTCTGCAGCCCTGCACAGGCAGTAGTTACACTTTTTTCCTTGGATCTCAAACCCTGGGATAAATGACTGAGGTTTGGTAGAGGGGACAGATGGAAGGAGGGATTTTCCCCTGCACTTTGAGAAGAGATAAAAACTCTCCCAGGACTCCCAGAGACAACAGGGAAAGCAGAAGGAGCTGTCAGAGTGAACTCAGAGCCTGGGTGGCACTGAGCACAGCGGGGCTGTGCTCACAGGAAACAGCTGGGGGGAAAATGTCCCCAGCCAGGGACTGTGGTGACATTCCAGCAGCCCCAGGGAGGACTTGGCTGCTCAGACAGGCCAAGATCTCTTCCCTGAATGCACACAGAACAGAGAGGGAAAAGAGGGCTCCAGAGGCAGGGGAAGGAACAGAGGAAAAGAGAGATCCAGAGGCAGAGGAAAAGAGAGATCCAGAGGCAGGGGAAAGAGCAGAGGAAAAGAGAGATCCAGAGGCAGGGGAAAGAGCAGAGGAAAAGAAAAGAGAGATCCAGAGGCAGGAGAAGGAGCAGAGGAAAAGAAAAGAGGGCTTCAGAGGCAGGAGAAGGAGCAGAGGAAAAGAGAGCTCCAGAGGCAGGGGATGCCCCCAGAGAGAAGGGAGAGGCAGCTGGCAGAGCTCCAGGCTCGGGGGCTCCCTGAGTGCTCCCTGTCCTGCTGGCTCTGCAGGATGGGGATGCAGCAGAGGTTGTCACACTGCTCCAGCCAAGGGAAGCAGCTCCAGCCCTGGAAAAGGGATGGGGAAAGGGTAAAAGTGCAGCAACCCCACAAACGCTGGGGGGGGACACAGGGACAGGCACCAGAGGCTGGTGTGCAGGCTCCAGTGCCAGATTTTCCATTTGGAGCACCCTTGCCCTGGTGTGCCCAGCAGAGCTGTGCCAGGGACAGGGCTGGCATGGGGACATCCCACAAAGGGTCCCTCCAAGCCCCAAAGAGGGCTGCTCACAGGCCATGCCAGAGGGGCCAGCCAGGCTCCTGGGGAGAGGAGACAGACACAAAGCACAGGGGAGCACTGAGGGGCCAAGTCCTGCTCTCAGCAATGCACCCAGCCAGCTCCGGGAGAAAAATCAAGGGAAAAAAACCAACCCAGCAACAATTAATCTATTGTTTCTGCTCTTCCAAGATTATTTTTAAGTATTTGTGACAGAGAAGGAGAAAGAAAAAGGCAGGAGTGGATGCAGTTTGAAGAATTTTGGTGCCTGTTATGACATGGGAACATGTTGTGTCCCATTTTTTCCTGACCCCTTTGCAGCAGGGAGAGGGATGCCAGGACTGGGGCACAGAAACCCCAGTGGGGTACCCAGCCCAGGCTTCCCACACCAGCACAGGGCACATTTATCCACATTTATCTCCACCACCAACTAATCTTATCAGTTAGCTGTTTTCCTTACCCAGGAATGTCTGGGCAGCGAGTCTGGAGTGAGGCAGAGTGTGAGAACTCCCTGTCCCCACCCCCAGCTGTCCATTACCAGGGAAATACAGGAAAAACAAAGCAGGAGAACACCCCCAGGGAGGGCAGCCTTGGAAAAGCAGCTCTGTACCAGCAGCCTGAGCTGGAAACAGGAAACCCAGAAGATAAAATCCTAATTAGAGCAATTAAGAGTGCTGCAGGGGATCCTGGGGAGAGGGGGTGGCCCTGCTCAGCAGGATTGCTGGCAAGCAAAGCCCCAAAAGGAGCTGTGGGGCAGTGCCAGAGGGTTTTACACCCAGGTGTCCCAGGCTGCAGGCAGGACATGGCATTCCCAGCTGGAGACAGCCTGGAGAACTCACTGCCAAAAATGCACAGCCTCGGGCCAAGGGCCAGCAGGCGACAAGGTGTGCCATGCTCTGCTGCTCCTCTGTGTCCACACTGCAGAGCTTTTCCTCATCAGGAGGATTTTTAATGAGACAAGAGGAAGGAATGCCCAGGAAGCTCCACCTGGACAAAGGGAAGAACTTCCCTGCTCAATGAACAGAGAGGGGATGGGGATAATCCCTGGGGATATTGCAGAGCTGTCCCTGTGCCCTGGGCTCTGGGATGGCCCTGCTGGAGCACGGAGGTGGCACAGTGACCCCTGTGGTCACAAGCCATCCTGGGATGTCGGGATGTGCTCTGCTTGGCTGGCAGAGCTTCAGCCCAAAGCCACACTGCTCCTTTGTGCTCCAGCAGGAGAGAGCTGCCCCCAGCCTTCAGAGGACACAGCAGCCAGCAGGGAAAAGGGGAAAAAAAGGAGCTCAACCAAAGGCTTCCCAGGCTGGTGGCAGAATCACAAGAGGCTCTTTGTGACAAGGACAGCAGCAGCAACTTCTGTGGAGCAGGGAGGAGCTGGGCCAAGGATGCTCTCATCCACTCATCCAGTTTGAAATCCATGCCCAGTTTGAAATCCATGCCCAGTTTTAAATTCGTGCCCAATTTTAAATCCCTGCCCAGTTTTAAATTCATGCCCAGTTTTAAAGCTGTGCCCAGTTTGAAATTCACGCCCAGTTTGAAATCCGTGCCCAGTTCGTGCCCAGTTTGAAATTCATGCCCAGTTTTAAATTTATGCCCAGTTTTAAATTCGTGCCCAGTTTTAAATTCGTGCCCAGTTTGAAATCTGTGCCCAGTTTGAAATTCACGCCCAGTTTGAAATCCGTGCCCAGTTTGAAATTCGTGCCCGGTTTCAAATTTATGCCCAGTTTGAAATGCACGCCCAGTTTTACATTCCTGCTCAGTTTAAACCTGTGGCAGGCCCAGACACGGCGAGGCAGAGGAGGAGGCAGGGCTGAGCTGAGCAGAAGCTCAGGGCAGGAGCAGCAGCCTCACGAGCCCCCCAGCTCCCCACAGCCCGTCCCTGGAGGGCAGGGAGTGCCCCAGAGGGGACACCCCGGACCCCCAGCCAGGGGAGCAGGGTCCTGCTCCAAACTGGGTCACCAGAGTCCCACTGGGGAGGTGGGAAAGGGACACAGGTCCTGCCAGGGGGGACAGGATGGGGGACACAGCCCAGGCTGGGAACCAGGGAATTCTCAAAGTGGCCCTGCAGATCAAAGCACTGGAATCAGCCAGTTTGGGAAACCTCTGCCAAGAAATAGTCTGGGAAGAGACATCTGGCAGCAGCTCACAGGCCCTGGTGTTTAGTCTCCTTGAGATCCTTCCCTGCATCCTCAAGGGCTGTCTGAGCAAACAGGGGTGAAACAAACCCCACAGCAGCCCAGAGGACAGAGGGATGAACGAGCAGCAAGCTCAGATCCCAAATGTGCTGGATGGGACAGGAGAAGCGGGCAGGAACTGATGCCCAGGAAGTTCCAGTGAACACAGGGAAGAGCTTCTGCCCTGGGCTGGCACGGATGCCAGGCAGTGGTGCCACACCATTCCCATGCCATGCCAAGGGGAGCTGCGTGCCCACAGCAGCAGGAGCTGCCCCAGATGAGCAGAGTGAGGAGCCCAGAGCCTTTAATTTCATTTCTCACAGCAGGAACTGCCCCAGCTGAGCAGCATGAGGAGCCCAGTGCATTTCATTTCATTTCACACAGCAACACGAGCTGCCCCGATGAGCAGAGTGCCCCAGTGCATTTCATTTCACACAGCAGCAAGAGGAACTGTCCCAGATGTGCAGCATTAAGAGCCCCAGAGCATTTAATTTCATTTCACACAGCAGCAGCAGGACCTGCCCCAGCTGAGCAGCACGAGGAGCCCCAGTGCATTTCATTTCATTTCATTTCTCACAGCAGCAGGAGGGCCAAGCCCAACCTCCCCAGTGCTGGGAAATGGCATCACACAGCTGGATTGTGAAAAACCTCATGGAAAGCTTGAAGCATCGCTCAGGAATCGACATAAAAAAAAGAATTAACTGAGGTCAGAGGGGATAAAAAAAGGGCCACACAAGTTGCCAGCAGCTGGCAGTGCAGAGGGGTTTCCTGTGAAGGCACACAGCATTGGGCACACGCTGGTGCCCAGGGACAGCTCCTGGCATGGGGAGCACTGGGGTGGGCAGGACACTCCCTCCACCCTGGGAGCCAGCACTGAGCCACCCCCAGCTCTGTGTCACCCCAGAAAGCACAAGGGACAAAGCCAGGGGGCTGGGGGGGCTCCCAGGGGCAGGGAGCAGCAATGTCCCCTCCAAGTGGCCCAGGGCTCACAGGGAGGGCTGGATGTTCGGAATTGCACACCACCCTGGGAGCCAGCACTGAGCCACCCCCAGCTCTGTGTCACCCCAGAAAGCACAAGGGACAAAGCCAGGGGGCTGGGGGGGCTCCCAGGGGCAGAGCTGCTGGGGACAGAGCAGCAAGGTCCCCTCCAAGTGGCCCAGGGCTCACAGGGAGGGCTGGATGTTCGGAATTGCACAAAAGTCCAAGGGAAATGCCTCCTATATCAGGGATATTCAGAATTCCATAAAAGAAACACAGCAAAATTCCAAGGGAAATGCCATCCTCTATCAGGGATATTTGGAACTGCACAAAATTCCAAGGGAAATGCCATGCTGTATCAGGGATATTCAGAACTGCACAAAATTCCAAGGGAAATGCCTTCTGTATCAGGGATATTCAGAATTGGACAAAATTCCAAGGGAAATGCCATCCTGTATCAGGGATATTCCCCCTGGGCCAGCAAACACAGAGGAGCTCCCAAGAGCAGCAAACCCTGCAGTTTCTGGGCTTTGGAAAATGCAGATTTAGCACAGAACTCAGCCCAAAGTGCACCTGGCCCTTTTAGGACCCAAGCAGGACAAGCAAAACCTCTCAGGAGCACAAAGCCTGGATCTG